GCAACGTTAGGGTCGTCTCCCGCGCCAACCTGGTCACCTACCGTGGTCCGACCATGGTCTCCAACACTCTCCACGCCGCCGCCATCCTCCTCAAAGAGGCCGGCGACTGGGACTGGTTTATCAACCTCAGCGCCTCCGATTACCCTCTCGTCACCCAAGACGGTATGATTCGTTGCCCAATTATTTGGTGTGGGCATTAGCGATAGGTGTCTCCTAATTTGGCGCTACACATTTGTTCCTGAAATTTGATCTTGTTCTGCTTGCTTTCCGGGCTTTAATTGGAATTCTTAATGGGCATTTTCTCCAAATTCGTTCATCATCGTGTGTTGGTTAGGCATTGCTCAAGACATTTACTTGCTGTCTTTGTTTCTTCACATTCCTCTGAGAGATGCTATCTCGGTGTAGCACTCATCTGCATGTTTACACAAGTTGTATTTACAATTAGATCTCTGGATGGCTCTCATTTTGTTACATAAGCCTTGCCTGGATTTTGTATGCAGATCCTTGTGAGAACCAAGCTCGCCCCTGTTCCATATGCTTCTAATTATTTATAGAATATATAAATCAAGTGCTACGTTTGGCTCTATATAGATAAGCTTTCTTTGCTTCTAATGTAGTTCTTCATAAATTAGGAAACACTTTTAGTTCATGGAAGTTATCTTTGTAACTATTAATTTTTTGTACCATTCAATTCTGATAGCATGAAGTAACAGTTCTTTTGTTTGGCAGATCTATTGTACACACTATCAAGTTTTCCGAGGGACTTGAACTTTATAGAGCACACTAGCGACATTGGATGGAAGGAGTACGTAAGACATGTTAATTCTTAGATTGGGATCTTTGTGTGGTACTTCTATTTAGATGTTCTTTTCTGAAAAAAAGTTGGTTTCAGTAATTCATTCTTGAGAAGTCATTGTATGGTCTGTGGTGCAGGTATCACAGGGCTAAGCCTGTTATTATAGACCCTGGGCTTTATAGCTCGCAAAAAACAGATGTGTTTTGGGTTTCTGAGAAAAGGAGTGTACCCACTGCATTCAAGCTCTTCACAGGTACAAAATCTAATTCTAACCCAATAGTTCATGTGTATAAGATTGCTCATGGTAATATCTCTCTTGCATACCCTTGTGCAAATCCTGCATTTCGCAGTAGGTTGCATGTATGTTGGAGATTGTTTAAACAATCCTGTATGGTGGGAAACTGTCAACTGTCTGCTTAAACTTGGAATTATGACAGTTATTTAATTGGCCATTTACTGTCATGGGCTGTTGCAGCTAGAAAGTTGTGGCAGATTGATCCTTCTGCTGCCATGATACAGAGATTGGCAATTTGTTACCATCTGCTTTATGCTACAGATGATTGAACAGTGCACATAATATTTGTTGGTCTATTCATATCTGTGTGAATCAATATTTGTACACAAATGGCACCTAATATGATTAACAACTTTTTGTGCAGAAGTTGTATGACAGGTCTGGCTTTTGGTTTGAATAATACAATTACAAGATTTGTCAGCATACAGATATGCATATGATATGGTTAAATGCATATGAGTTGCATACATATTGCATGGATATACATATGAGTTGCATTTCAGTATCCCAATAATCCGGATTTAAAAATTTTACCAAGTATTTGATCTAAAGCAAGAGAAGTTATTTGCTAGTTTTTAAAGTGTTTGTATATTCTTTTTCTCCTTAGGTTTACCAAAGGTGAGGGAAAGTTTCAAGGATTAGGATCAGGATTGATACTAGAGTCTAGGATCATAATTTAAATGGGCTACAGTATGGTTTTCGAGGTCAAGAGGAATTAGCATGGGTTATGATAGAACCATCTACAACTACCTAGAATTGGTAGGGACTTCTGAACTACTTTTGGATTGTTTGGCTCCAGCTGAATGATTTCATTTTTTTTGGGAATTCTAAATTGATCCAGCGGATCTGGATTAAGATTGGTGAATCCTTTAAAACAAGGGTAGGACCTAGGTGCTTTATTAAAGAAATCCTGGGGCTCAAAGGTGTACGCGGCCACTGCAAACAATACAGAGGTTGCTGAAAGAGGTATTTGGAAACCATCTGGGTTCAATTTCTATGATTATCTGACCTATTAGTTCATAAAATTACCTTATGATGCAGTGAAAAGCTAAATTGTTTGCCTTTAATCTCATCAAGGTAAATATGTGGTAAAAATTAGAAAACTGGTCGAGGTTGAAGAAGAGCTTACTGTAGGACAGAAGTGTAATAAGCTACTCTCATTTCTAGTTATGGATATTTTATCATCTTTGGAGAAAATGGGGTTGGTTCACGGGATCTGCCCTTGTTCATGATGCTCTGAATATGAGAGAGGAGGGAGAGAAGAACAAGAGATGAAGAGAGAAGGGTGATATAGGTGCATGTCAAAGCCTTTGATTTACATTCACCTTGTGTTTGGCTTCACAATTTCCCCTTTGGGCCATGATTTCTGAGTGTAATTTTCTTCAATAGGCTATCATTTGGCTGCTTTCTCAAATGATGCATAGAACAGATCGTTTTTAGTTTATTTATTTCTCCAGGACAAATTATGTACCAACTTGTTACAGGAATAACTTGGATAACAGTGGACTCTTGTGTCTGCTCTCTTTATAATTCTTTGTTTGAACCTAACTATGTAGATTTCATGCTGCTTGTCATTAGAAATTATTTTTTGCTTTTGCCATTTACATGTGGTGCTGCACATGCTTCCATTAGCAGGAGAATGATTTGATTCTCCAAGATTTCCCCACATCATAATATATTGTGTGACAAGTCTCATAATCAGAATTTGCATAGGGGTTTCACAAATTCTCATAGCTGTGAGCAATATTTTTCATTTGTACAAGCTACAGAAAGTGTGAAAAATTACGGAGCAAATTAAACCTCCAGTTTAACCCAAATGTTGAAACCTCATATTTTAGCATCAAACGATGCTAAATCTATCTACATGTTCATCATACATGTGGCTAGCCTATTCTCATCTCGCCTTTGTTATCATAATTATCACACTAATTATCCCATGTCTTGTAGGTCATCAGTAATATTGAATATCATGTTCTGGGTGCATAGAAATTTTATATCAAAGATGGATGATATACACAAAAGGAGAAATGTTTCTCATATGTTTACAAAATATGATTTAAATGGAACCATGATCTCTAAGATATTTGCAATTTATTGAATTCTGGTTATCTTCCTTTCTCCCTTCTTTTCACTTCTACTTGCTTTGGTACATTGCAATCTTTTGTTAATCTATTAACTTAGCTATTCTGTGATGCTCAAAATCCAGCTCCTCTCATTGTTAAAAAATAAGTAGATTTTGCCAATATACAATTGCTACTTATTTGATGGCCTAAAGAAGTTGAACATGCCATTTAACACATTGGATGGTTTTTATATTCATATAACTCGTGAAACTATACTATGGGATTATTGTGCCAGTTATACCTGTTATGCAGTGGTGAGGATCTGAATATAGCACAGAATTCATTCTTTATCTTGATATGTTGATTCTTTTATTATCACATAGAAATGTTTGGTGACGTGTGTGGGTTTTAGCAGTATGTAATGAATGCTTCTTTTTTATTATTGTACAAGATAAATGTTCAAATAGCAGAGAACATGTTGTTGATTCTATTGTTAACATAATTATAAAGTAATAATTGGATCATTAATGATTGATTTCTTGGCAGGCTCTGCTTGGATGATGCTTTCTCATCAGTTCATCGAGTTCTTGTTATGGGGGTGGGACAACCTCCCAAGAACAGTTCTGATGTATTATGCAAACTTTCTGTCATCTCCTGAGGGGTATTTCCACACTGTAATCTGCAATGCGCGTGAGTTCCGCAACACCACAGTCAACCATGACCTTCACTTCATATCTTGGGATAACCCTCCGAAGCAGCATCCTCACCTTCTCACACTAAATGACTTCTCAAGGATGGTCAGCAGTAATGCTCCATTCGCAAGGAAGTTTGGCAGAGATGATCCAGTACTCGACAAGATCGACAAGGAGCTCTTGGGCCGTGATCCTGATGGTTTTGTGCCTAGTGCATGGTATGACAATCTGAAGATGGATACTGGCAATAATCTACCATTTGCAGTGAGGAATGTCACTGAGCTGAGGCCTGGGGCAGGTTCCCAGAGGGTCAAAGCCCTAATAACGGGTCTGCTTTCAGCAGATGGTTTTGAGAAGAAGCATTGCATTTGATCATATGAGTTGTAAATTTCTTGAGCTATGATGCTTTGAGCTGTCTTGAGCCTCGTCAACTCAAAAGCAGTGAATAGGTGCAGGAGATCTGTTACTTGCCCGGAAGGTCATAACCTGGAAAGGGTAGGAATCTATGCAAATAATGACTTATTTTGCTTCTCGTTGGTGATAGAGTTAGTATGTAAAGCAGCTAATCTCAAACTCCCTGGCCTTGGTGGATTACAATCTGCATGTGGGCATCAACTATCCATCAATGCCGATATCAGTCACTAAACGCCCTAATGTATCAGCATATTTCGGCGGCTTCGTTCTGCAGAGATTCATTCAATGACTAATTTATGTGCTATTTGTTTGATCATTGAGAGACATTTCAACATATGCCCCATGGCATATTTATACTCGAGGTATCTCATCCTTGCAAATTGCTAGAGACAGTTAACCAACCTATTTCAGTATCAACCCTTTCAGTTGCATTGTATTATAACTGTGAAGCAGTCACTATGAACTCTCCTGTCTTAAACAAGAAATTATTGTGCTGTCTTCCAAAGTATACTTTAACAATCACAGTTGGATCACTTGATGATATATCTATCTCACTGAACCAACTTGCATTTTGTTTGCAGGCCAAACAGAAAAAAAGAGACTACATTACTGACTGAGAATACAAATCAACCTTAAAATGCACAAAGGAAAACGAACCTCTGTCAGATAATATCAGCCAACTCTTTCTTCGTACTTGCGAAGCATGTCATCAGTTTGTTTGCGAGTCACCAAAGAATGGTTCAGCTCCTAAGCATCTCATCGGCGTCGAAATCATCATCATCATCATCATCATCAAAGCCATGCCGTGATGAGGCCGTACCAAGAGCAGGCTCTTCAGATCCACAAAGATCGTACCTTTCCCGGTTCTCCGCTTCGCTGACGCACTGGAAAGGCATAGAGACTTCCTTGAAGGCCTCCTTACCTTCAACGACAGTTTCCGGTATGCTCTGCGAACATCCCCAATCGTGCTCGAACCCCAGGATCTCGTGGTAATCTCTCTGTTCCCTAATCTGATGAACGATTGCCACCTGCTCCTCTGTGTAGGATCTTGAAGATTCTATTCCACCGGTTGCGGAAAGGAGATCATCGAGTGGGAGAGAGGGGTCGAGACGGCAGGCCTCGGAGAGGAGTTTGAAGGCACGCGACCGGTCCCCTGTACCTAGGGCTTCCATTCCCATCCTAAGACACTTCAAAACGCGAACGGAAATCGATTTCGAGTTGTCGCCTCGAGGAAGAACCGATCTGCTCCTACCTTGGATCGACATATTAGGGTTCGTATTCGAAGCAGAGAGAGGAAGACGTCCGATTCATCGCAGGAAGTGGCCGACCTCAACGGCCATCAGGAGGCGCGTAAGTCGGCTCATCTTAGCCGTCCAAACGACGGAGGAACGTTTCGTGAGATTGGCGGGAACGGGAACGCTACGTATCCGGATGCAACATCCGCCGTTCGATTAACAATTGATCTGCTCTGATGGATCATTTTGCACAGTGTTGTATATAATTATTGCTGCAACCATCTTAGATTATTTATATTCGTTATCATTAATGTCAAAATAATCTTATGGTACTTTCGTTAAGTTTAGATAGAGCTGTGTTCGACAATGCTTCCTTCTACGTTTCTGCCATGCATTCTGCTGCTGCTTCGCCGAACTGCTTACGTTGACCACCGGATCATATTCTGCAAAGAAAAGAACAGACGCACGGCAGTCAGTGACAATGAGACGTGATTTCATCTCACCGTTTGGCAGAAAGGAGAGAGGAAGAGAGGATTCGTACTGTGCGTATTCGACATTGATTTTTGTGTTTGGAATCTTGGAAACAGCGTCGAAGGCTCTGTTCGACAAGACGAGGGTCGAAGGACACGGGCTGACTCTGCAGAAATCCACCACTTGGACGACGATGGAGCCGTCCTTGCATGGCCGCCTGAGGCCGCTGAGGCACCGGAGCTGGTACTTTCTGCCGCAGGCAGCGCCGTTGTCCCACATGCCATTGCCTGCTGCCACGAAAAGCCCATTCTCCGGCAGTTGATCCTCGGTGTAGCCCGGGCATTTCGTCGCTGCACCAGTGTAAACCAAGCCATGAGAGATGAACAGTGAAGACGAAGAAGAAGAAGAAGAAGGTCTTACGAAGATATGGAGGATCGTATGACGTAGCTGTGCCTACATCTGCTGAAACTGTGACGAGATAAACGTCGCAGATCAAACCGAAGAGCATCGCCACTGCCACCCACCGCTCTCTCTCCATCACCGAGCACGTTTTGCCTTCAGCTGAGTCGCTTGCAGGCTAAATTTATACTTGGGAGTGGGCGGCACCTCCATTGCTCAAACTAATACTATCATCTGTTCTTCCTCATCCACTGCTGCACACGATAAGATTCAATAGTGGAAATCGTGTTGGTGGCTGGCTTACCCAAGCTTTCCGTCATTTCCATTCCCTATGGGATACATCGTTCCTTTACGGAACTGAGGCTTTATCTACGGTATATACAAATGAGGTCGACATGGGGATGATTAGCTAAGGAGATCTATCCTTTTCTTATTGATGGTGCTGTGATATGTCATCAGAATAAATATTTATCTCATTAGCTATAGATGAGGATTATGCCTTTGATGGAGGAGTCACTCGCAGCTCAAAATGGAACCGCGGATTAGCAGCTGGAGAGACTTCGAGCACTAACGTCACATCCTTTTGGCCGACCGCTCGCCATTCGTTGAACTCCATCTTCGGATCAGCATGAGCGCGTCACAGTGACATTTGACGCTGCTTTGCTTTCTCTCTGCCGCTAGTGGAGCTTCTCAGCCTCTTTATGGCCACTTCGTTTGGGATAGTTGTAGCAAAGTTTTGATCGTCTTCGACAGACATGGCTGCGTTGCTGTAAGTCTTTGTTCTTTACTCATACAGCATGTGGGTTTTCTGAGTCTCTTAATGATGATATGTACCTGTCATTCAGCTAGAATTTTCACTAAATATATAATATCAAGATAATTTATTTTTCTTTTTATATATACAACCAAAGCACTATACCAAATTATCTACTAATACGAAAAATATTCATCCAAGTAAGACTTTGACAAGTGATGGTCAAGATCTTATTGAGTAATACGAACATTAACCTAATATAAAATGTTATTTTAAGTTTAACAAATTATAAGGATGGTTACTGTTTTACTCGCCTCCACTCTCTTTTATCACTAATTTGGGCGTCGGAGTGATCAGAAAATACTCAATCTTGATCTTCTTACATGTAAGCATTATATCATGTGTTTAAGACCCCCTTAATCACTTCCGAACACTTCTTACATACACGGGCTTGAACTAAATCAAGTTGATCCGATCATTACAAATATCACATAATTGAATATGATATTTTTGAATAATTTTGATCTTAGTAATTTGATGTATAAGACCATGTAAATTGAAAATGAAAAGATATATCTATTATTAATTAGGATTGGTTGTATAAAAAACGTATAAACGGCTTGTCGTTTTATCCCCAACCCATCAATTGAATTAGTGAACGAGTGGGAGTCAGACTAATTTAGGCGATCAAATAGATAAAAAAAGATTTAAATGATAATTAACAGTTTTTTAGAGCCTTCTATTAATTCTTTTGTGGAGTATCATATTCCTATATATAATATTACATTTCAAGACTTGAAATTTAAAAAATAAAATTAATTAAAATCACAATCTCTTCCTAAAAGCAACCAAAAATATTTTGAGTTTACGGGGAAATATGCAATGTGTCAATTATTCAATGACAAGTGCTAAGAACATATCCTCCATTGCGATGAATGAGATATTAGATATGGATTGGATCACAAGAATTCGAGAATATTAACAGATTATCGATTAGTGAGTCAGTTCGATTGGTTCTCTGTTAAAAATATAGGTTTTTTCTGATGACTCATCCCAACTAATATGGAGAGCAATTTGTTGTGGGTAGGATAAAAGAATCTGTATAGAGAGGCAGTTTGTCAAGAGCTACTTAGTCTTCGAGTAATGAAGCTAAGTTTGAGAGCTAGGCAATCCCCTCCTAATTGCGCCTCCGAGCAACACTGATAACCCTGCACAATATGCTTGTATATGAGGTATCCCGACTCGACCTATCTAATGCTTAAATCAAGAAAACAAAAAGGGAGAACGATAATAGTATCAGCAATATAATCAAGAGAGTAGAGAGTCTTTTTCCTACTTGTCCCAACTTGGTTCGACGCTTGATTTTTATACTTGGGCGTTGAGCGACCTGGACTTGCGTTCGCCAAGACCTCCCTTACCATGTACAATGAAGGCATTAATGAAGATGGCTTCTTGGTGTGTGTCCCCCCGATACCTAGGGCAAATCGTTGGGGGATGCTCCTAAGTTGACTTTCATTATCGCTTTGGATTAGGTAGATAGTGGTTCTTTCATCAAATATTGAAAAGGGAATGCCGTTAGACCATGTCATAAGTTATCAATACAAAGGTATAACTTCTGTGTATTAATTCGAAATGGATCATATGGATCTATTTCCAAAAGCTAGGCGGTGCGACCCCTAGTCCCCATACTTTTATTTTAAGGGTTATTTTTTTAACCTTGCAATTATCTTATTAGAGAAAATACTTAGATTGACATATTAAGATGTCAATTTTCTTTTTTCTACGTTGTTAAGAAAATGATTTAAGAAATAATAATATAATTTTTATTAAAATCATATCAAACTCGTTTACCATCATGTCTAAGTGAGAAAGAGATAAAGAGAGATTGGATTTGGTATGACTACCTAAGAAAATTCTTCATAATTTCATATATTTGACCTAAAAAATTATGTTATATTAGTTATTCTCTCATCTTTAACAACCAAAAAGTTTTCTTACTATATAATCTTATAATTTATATTTTTAACATAGCATATAATTATATATAATCATTTTTTTTCCAAAAAATAAACCTATGATTCAATTAATTGAATAGCACCGAGTTGCACTAAAAATACTATTTTACCCCTTGGATTGACGACTCTCAGCTGTGGTATGGGGATAATATGGTCATATCAAAAGATATTTAGCACGTGCCGTAGATACTGTCATAGCACTATTATACCCCTATGCGACCTTTAATTTATCGCTGTGAAGGCCGTGAATTGTACCATTTGATTAGGGCAGTTATGGGATAAAGCAAGATAATTGATGCTCTTCTTTGCTTGAACCCTTCCAACGGCGGGATAAAGGAGGGAAAGGGGGGAGAAGCACCGGATGGAAGGCCGAGGCTGATCTCTCTCGCCCGTCCCCTCTCGCTTCTGTCGTCCGCTCGCCCGCCCACGGCGAGATCGACGATAAGTAGGGGCGGGGAAGGAGAAGGGAGTTGTGGGCTTCGATTTCTCTCATTCTGGGTTGATTCCTTCGCCCGCCGTCCGATTGCTTCGCGTGGAGCGTTCGGGTGACCGTCGTACGATTGAGTTTGTTGGATTCTTCTGTCGAAATCTGGTTCGAACTCCGCCTTTACCTGATGATGACTCATACGAATCTTTTTTTGGTTTCGGATATTAACCGCGAAAAGGAAGGCAGTGCTTTTCTTGGATTATCGTTTGATTTATTTTTTGACTTGCAATTTGGTTCCCGCTTCATTGTGCCATGCCATAGCGCAGAATTCTGCTTGAGTTCCTCTCCTCGAAAAGACCCATTTTTTGGCTGCAATCTTTACAGTTTCCTCTGTCTCTCATTCTTCCATCTAATTCTTGCATTTTAGGTGTTTCGGCTCTTTTTTTTGTTGTTGCAATCTTAATAGTTTCTTCTTCTTTTTTTCTGATTCTGCTGAATGAAAGGCTTTTTATTTCCTGTATTTTTACTGTCAGATTTGGTAAAATGCAGCTACCATGTTACATTCTTGCCCTCACATTTGTCTTCGGATTTGGTTACCGAAAGTACCTTGCGAACAAAGGGAGATGGATATGGACGCTTTAGTACTGTAATCGTAAATCCAATTGTTGTACTGAGATTGAAATGGCTGACAAGAGGTTGCAAGCGGTTGCGGTTGCGGTTGGGAAGAAGAGTGATGGGTTCCTTCTCCCCTTTCCAGGATTGGGCTTTTCATGGAACTCCCAGGAGGGATTTTACCGCTCTGATGGCTTGTTTGCGAGTGTTGGGCAGATGGGAGTTGGCTTCGGGGTTTCTCCGAATTCTCCTAAGCCTACAAACAACAGCGCAAAGGTGCCGGGAATTGATCTCTACGTCAAGTATGTGTCCCCGGAGGTTGGGTGTCGCGTTCTGGGAGCTGCCACCGCGTCTGCAGTTGAAGCGACTGATGTCATAGAGGAAGCAGTGGTTAGAAAGAATGAGAAGAAGGGTGGGTTGAAAGTGAAGATTAGGATAGGAAACCCCCATTTTAGAAGATTGGTCAGTGGAGCAATTGCTGGAGCAGTGTCACGGACCACAGTTGCGCCTTTGGAAACGATCAGGACGCATCTTATGGTAGGAAGCAATGGGAACTCAACAGCAGAAGTGCTCCAGTCTATAATGAAGACGGAGGGGTGGAAAGGGCTCTTCCGTGGCAATTTTGTCAATGTCATCCATGTTGCACCAAGCAAGGCCATTGAGGTATTGATTGTGTTGATCTTATCTCGGATATGTTTCTGGTTTAAGAATCATGTTCAGCTCTGAGACATCATATGTGTGTTCCTTACTAATACTTTCTTTCATAGGAGTTTATAGCCTTGTGCCGGTTGATAAAAGTTATATGCTGTCAACTTCTTTTTTGTGGTTTATCTCGTTATTACTCGATAAAGATTTCTGGAAAAAGTTGTGAGATGTCTTATGGCAATTATTTTTGAAGGTTAAGAAGCATCTGTTACTTCTCTGTTGGCTTAATCTCTTGCTCCTTTTCAGTTTGATTATGTTGGCCATATGCAATTTCTGCATTTTCTTACCTTATGCTGAACAAAAGGATTTTGTAAAGTTCATCCATTGTGCTAGATTCATCTAATTTACAGTTCTATTGGCTAGGCTCATGTTCCTTCTCTTTTTTCTTTTATTTGTCTTATATTAGTTTTAGTTAACCTGGAACTCTTAAAAGAAAAACTTTTTGCGGTCCTTATCCGAAGGATGCACCTGGATCTTTTATCGTACAGATATGATGGATAGCATCCTTGTGTGTGTTTTTCTGAAGAGTAGATATGTGGCACCTTTTGTTCTTGATTAAGTCAAAGCAATGTACTATTTGAATTCACTATGATGTTTTTAGGTGCTTATTATGGACAAGAGAAAAGAAACAATTGAATAATTTGATCATACTATGTTGCATACATATGCAGTCTCTGCTAATCATCTTGTGCGTTTCTGAGCTCCTTATGGTTTAGCATAGTTAAGTCAATTATGAAATCGACATTTTGTCCTGGCTTTTTGATTTTGACATTTTTGGCATGGTTTTGTACATTGTATAAGATGCTTATTTCGGTTCACCTGGTAGTTATTTGCTTATGACACAGCTAAGAAGGTTTTGACCCCTAAGGATGGAGAACTACCCAAACTTCCCATCCCCTCGTCGATCGTCGCAGGGGCATTTGCTGGAGTCAGCTCAACCCTCTGTACATATCCTTTGGAACTACTCAAGACTCGACTAACTATACAGGTTCGCAAAAACCCCTCGAGTGTTTATCTTGCATATACAATTTTCATTTTATTTGTGCCGCTTGTGCAGAGAGACATGTACGACAATCTTCTACATGCTTTCCTGAAGATCGTACGTGAGGAAGGTCCTTCGGAGCTGTACAGGGGTCTTACTCCAAGTCTCATAGGAGTCATGCCGTATGCTGCCACTAATTACTTTGCTTATGATACCCTAAAGAAACTTTACAGAAAGACATTCAAGACGGAGGAAATCGGCAATGTTGCCACTCTTCTGATTGGTTCAGCAGCTGGTGCTCTTTCGAGCAGCACCACATTTCCGCTTGAAGTTGCTCGGAAGCATATGCAGGTCGGAGCCGTTGGTGGCAGGAAGGTCTACAAGAACATGCTTCACGTGCTCTTGAGCATACTGGAGAAGGAAGGGATCGGAGGGCTCTACAAAGGGTTGGGGCCGAGTTGCATGAAGTTGGTGCCTGCTGCTGGGATCTCATTCATGTGCTATGAGGCTTGCAAGAAGATCTTAATCGATGAGGCAGAGGAGGATGCATAATTCTATTATATTCTCCTAACAACGATGACGGAACCACGAACTAAGACATTTTGAAGCTTTCGAGCACTTGAAGTTTTTTCTCATGTTGTTTAGATTTTTTTTAGATTAAAAATATTATATTTAATAATGATGCAGAATGTAGCTGATAAGTCGTCGTTGTCATCAGTTTATTAGAAGAGAAAAATTTTGCCATCACTGTAGACTTATTTTCTGTTCCTCATAAATAAACTGTAGTTTAGATAATACAACTGAACAGTAGTTTCATTGCTTCTTGTTCTTTGCCTTTCTATATCATTGCTTTTCTAGGAGTCCGGTTTTGTGCTTGATATTATTGGCTGAAGTAAGTTTAAGAGACTGCTTTTGTCCATTTACCGGTGGATGGCAATGACTGTTCATCTGTGGCAACGATCATTGATCTATTGTGGTTCTTAAAACATGATAATTCTCAGTTGCAAGTCGCTTAAAATTTAGTCCCCGACAAATCTAACCAGCAAGCATCAATTGAGACAAATCTAACCAGCAAGCATCAATTGAGACGAAACAAATGTGTTGCCATCAACTCGAAGAAAATGACATCAATCAAATAACCTTGATCATAAATAATGAGAAAAAACAAATATGTTCTTTAATTCACAGAAATAACCCGCAAGGTAAATAACAATATTGTTCTGTCAACCCAAGAAAACAAAAACAGTGATGGGATTCATTCGTTCAGGTCTGCTCCTCACCATCTTCAGCATCTCTCTCTGTTGCTGCAGCCATCAACTCGTCGAAGTTTTCCGTCTTCCCCAGCAATATCTCAATCTGTGCAGGAGACTCAAATCAAGCACAACTATGAGTCATCATAATTCTAGCAAGTCTTACCTTTGCTTTCTGCATAGGTCGTCCCCTGGATTCATCCTTCACATCAACCATAGACGTCATAATCTCTGCAGATTTGTTTTCGAAAAAAAAATTAACTATAAAGAGTCTCGACTCTGGTATTCTTTCCAAATTGTAATCTAACAGGTGAAAATAAGAATCCAAAATCTTACTCCTCTCAACAGCGAGACCGTTGTTTTTGAGAATCTCAGCAATGGTGACTACAGTTGCGATGGCTGAAAAGTTCCCACGATAACAAATGATCATCCATGGTAAGGTGAAATTTGTTACAAGCAAACTACATCAGCATAAGTATCCTCTGTCTGTGTCAACTAGAAATTTAACTTTTCAGACACAAGCAACTACTGTAGCAACATTATTATTATTTATTTCACTTGAGTTTGAGCTCAGTAGATAGGGCATCATCAACCTGATAACACGAACATTCCATGAGTTCCTAATGATAGAATGTAAGCATATAAATCTCCTCCATTGTTTTCACCAGTGAAAGATTCTGTTGCATCTTCTTCTTTTTTTAAGTTAGCTCGATATACGTAAGCAGAGAATTCCAGTTCCTTTTCTTCTTCCAATTCTCCAACTCGTACGAATATCTAGTTGATTATTAAAAAATTCGACACCAGAAAATTTCTCAAGACAAAGCAAGCAGTCAAGCATTAACACCGTGGAACTTTACAAAGGGAAAAAAAGTGAAGGATCACCCAAAGGAAGCCTATGAAACATCGATAGCTCTAATTGTTTGTCGGATATGGAGATGTGCCTGGATATGTGTCTTGATCAGCTAAGCACAAGAGCATAATAAACCAATAGGCTATTAGATCATAACAATTGGTAGCAAAATAATTATGTTACACATATGCCATTCTCACAATTTACCTGTTAAGACATAAATGAGAGTCCAATCCATCAAATTAGTTTCAGCATAAGAAGAATTACCAAGACCATAGCCCAAAGAAATAGACTTGAATAGTGCTTGTTCGTGCGGAAGAAGATATATATTGCGAAAGCAGTTACACCCAACATTGATAGGAGGAACGATAATAGTAGAGCAAGGAAGCAATACCCATTCCAAGAGCCGAAAGCTCCACTTCATTGTGTTGCTGCATGTACCTCTGCAAACAAAAGTATCATAGAGTTATCGACTATTACAACGAATAAGAGATACACAGAGCACTCGAACCTCAGTCATGGACACTAAAATATATCAACTTGAGGCCAAAATTAAGAGAAAAAGCACAAATGAAATATAACGCCAGAAAATCCAAGAAATTTCTTCTCATTCTGGGGCAACATCAACTAAGGTTAGGGTTTGGCACCTTAGCGAGATTGACATAGAAAAAGAGGGGCTTCTTCGTATTCGAGACTTGAATCCGGTTCTTCTTGTAGGAATCGGCGTTGACGCTGAGATTGTTGATGCCTTCCGTGACCTCCTCCATCGACGCTCGTTTCGCTTACAATCTGCCAAGAGACGAGAGAGAGAAACCCTAATGCGCGCCCACAACCGAAAAGAGACAAATACGTTATATATACCACTAGAAATAATACATGTATATATATACATGTATATAACTCTGTGGACTCGGCGAGTTGAGTCACAGCCCCTCCCGAGCTTTGTCCGAGTCATACCAAGACTCGGCGATTCCAAAGCCCAAACGACTCGCGCATTACAGGAGGGATCCCCTACAACTCCATCTACTTTTAGTATTATACAATTCGCACGTCACAACCGTCCATTAGAACCAGCGCAACTCACACCCGTGTGATCCCCAGCAACCTTGAACGTGGGATCCGATTCACCTGTGATCGAGATGCGTCAGTTACGCGCCAAATATTGTTATTTATAGACTATTGATATATATATATATATATATATAGTATATGTATATATATATATATGTGCATGTATATATATACATATATAAATATATATATGTATGTATATATATATACATATATATATATGTGTATATATATATAGTATAAATAATACTGCTAACTTTTGATGTTATTTAAAGTATCAACTAACATTTATAAATAATTAATTGATAAAAATAAACAATAATTAACATCTAAAAATGACATGGATCTTTTCAAATGATAATGTTTTCCAAATCTTATGAAGAGCTATACAATGAGGGGCACAAAAACTCATAAAGCAAATCAAATTCCACAGCATTACAATTCACTTTCTTACTAATCTCAGAATAAAACACTGAAAAATAATGTACAAAAGCTGTTACTTGATACAAATTCCACAACACATCCAATCATAGATGCCTTTCCTTTTCTTGGTCATTTCTGAACCCTTTCACCACAAATACTAATGAGACTTGTTAATGGGAGACAGCATGTGTCTTGCTTGGATCATTCTCCTACTGACCTTCTCCATTGGCACTGCTGTTGGATCCTCTCCTGCTAACCGTAGTATTTTTCAAGATCTGCAAGAGAAATATAGGCTGCAAAATTAGAAGAGTTTCATAACGGCGAGTGATTTCAGATGGATGATCCAATTAGCACGAGCCAAAGCAAAATAAATCATGGTTAATACCTCACAACACGACTAAAGATGCTAAAGATACAATGAAATGACAGACTAGGATGCTTCTGCAACATATGAGAGTTCATGGCCGAATAAAGTCATGAATAATGTTTTTATAAAGCAAAAAACACAAGCAAAAGAATTTTGTTTGGTAAAAGTCTTTCACAAAGCAAATAGTCTCATGCCACAGAAGCAGTCCTGTGAATCGTGTGGTGATTACATGGTTTCGGTAGCTACAAATGACTCAATTATCCATGAACAGCAACTTCATCGTAAGAAATCTGGATTTTCTCACAGATGATGATGCATTTGTTTATTTGTTTTTGTTAGCAAATGAATGCAACATAGAACACACATGTTGGACCATTGTGGACATGTTTTGGAACGAAGTGCAAGTCAATACAGCTAGGCTGCAACTGCAGAAATTGCTGGTTCATACAAGCAACTCAAAGGTGCTTGTGAGAACTGAAAATGATCTGTGCAGAATTTGCTATGTCAAAATGGCAAGAAATGACAAAATCTCACATCAGCAGCCATCGCAACCGAAAATATTCCCCGAATTATCCTACTTCAAAAAGTTCTTCACTAACCGCAAGATATTAGGCTCTTCGGACTATCCACATACTCCACCTTGGAACTTCACTAATTTAAGCATCGGAAAGATCTGAGTCAGAAAACCCGACATCAGACTCCTGCAGGCACTTGGGAGGATCTCGACACTACCCTAGGTCGAGTCGTGCCTGTCATCCCTTTAAGGAACTGACTTTGGTGATAACAGTGTTTACAAACCATAGGTTTAAGAGAAGTAAACAACTCTAGGTTCAGGAAGTCATTGTAATATGATATATATATACACACACATAACAGGCAAGTTTTGGTAGCTTGATGAAGAAAGTTATATGGCTCGAATTATGCATTCATCATGCAGTGAATCTAAAAGTATGTTCATCTTTGACAGGTAGAAAAATGAACCAGAAAAAATCAGGTCTTGTTTAACTCGAAGTAACAAGTGGCGATAAGTATAGTGGCTATGACAATGAATGTTATTAGAGTCGAGAAGACATACTTGTCTCAGCATGTTGTTCTCATTCTGCAATGTGGACATCCTCTCCTCCAGTTCTGAGTTCTTGGCCTCCAAATCCTTCACCTTGGCCTCCAAATCATTCAGGTAAGCCTTCTTCCTCTCCCTGGCTTGCTGGGCTGACACTCTATTCCTCAGCAGCCTTTTGTTGGACAAGACACATCATACAGTAAAAGACAAGACAAAAGTCATTCCCAAAATTCCCGATGGATTAAACGTTATCCAAACCTCTTCAGCCGCTTGTGCTCCTTGTCGGCCGGGCTCCTCCCTCGCCGCCGCTGGCCGCCCTGGGCGGCAGACTGGGCCCGGTCCGGACCAGCCGTCGAGCCGGCCTCTCTGCCGGAGGTCGATGTACCGGCCGGCTCGAACCCGAATTCCGGCACTCTCCTGATCTCCTCGTCGCTCTCCATTCCTGAATCAGGGGACCCAAGAAAAGCCCAATTTCGCCATCACGTCAAGAAAAAAGATCAAAACTCCACAAGGCAGCACGAACAAGAACAGCAAAACAACAAAAATCCCTCATTAAAAAAAAAAAACGCAATTTTGACGAAGCAAAAAACGGCGAAAAAGGTACATTGGTCGAATTAAACCGAAAAATATCTTCATCTTGGACTGGGAAAGCACAAGCTCCTTTAAAAAAGCGATTTTTCCGCAAAATCCATGAGAATCAATACAAAAGAAGAAGATTGCCTTCTTTGACTTCCATCTGGGGGGCAGAACTCGAGGACCTCTCGCTGCTCGAAGGAAGTGAGCTGGTAGTCTGATCCTGCAGCATCCTTCCCCTCCTCCTCCTCCCTATAGAGGGAACAGATCTACAGAGTGGAAGAAAAAGTCTCTCTCTCTCTCTCTCTCTCTCTCTCTCTCTCCCACCTTTTGGGAAGGAAGGAGGGGGGGGAGGAGGATGGGCTGGTGATATCAATGGGGGGTTTCGGGGTTTAAAGGCGCGATTCTAGCCGTCCGATGTGGGAGCATCGGACAGTAGAGAGTGCGTGATCGTGGACGAAGGAGGAGCCACGAAACCCAGGGGGGAATCCAAAGGTGCGCAGGCGGCGAGCGTGGAGAGTTACTGACCGTTCGATTCATATCAAATCGAGTGGTCGATAAGCCCCGTGCATTGAATCCGGTCTTCACCGTTTAGTCATTAATAATAATAACATACCTCCATTATTTTTTTCTTGAGCATATATCTATTTTTCCCTTCTTTTTAATGTTCTTTATATGATTTATTAAAGGGTTTTACACAACATACTTTTCCTTTTCCTTAGATTTAGTTGAGTGTCCCTCTCTGTCTCTGTATGATAATGGGGACCATTGGTCCACCATAAGGTAAAAATCATAATTAATTATCAAAATTATATTAAATTTAATTATCTCATCATAGATGATAAAATAAAAAAAAAATTAACTGTAATATAAAAAAATAATTGAGACTTATGATTTTATTGTTGTTTTATTGTTTGTTTATAGGAAGAAAATAAATATCTTTCCTCAGAAAATAAAAATAAAAATTATTTGAATCTCAAGATATTTGTAAGTGCAATTTTTTTTTAACACATATTGTATGAATTTAAACACTTATTGATTATGCAATAATACGAGTGAGATAATCATCTTCTTATATTGTATTAATTAGTAATTGAGAAATGATCATTTAGGTACTAAAATTCCTTTTTTCCTAGAATGTAAAATGCATGGTATCTCTCACACCATGTGAATTGTATTTGTTTTTTAAGGATGGGAATTGCTTGATGAATGCTACAATCTAAATGAGAGCACTCTTTGGACATGGATAATACAGAAGAGGAGAGGAGATTTGGACTTGACATGCCCTCCTATGTTGATCTGTCCACAGGATGGGAATAATTCTTGGTTGGTCATGCATCCTTCACATTTCCCACATCAGCCATGAGGTTGTGAGATGACTTGGTACCACCTGGATTTTTATGAGCCAAAGTTGGGCATTCTCTTTCCACTGAAATGATTGCTGGGAAAAGTAGTTGGAGAATTGAATTAGAAGAATGAAAACTTGCAGAGAGAGAAAATGACTCCTCATTTTTGTCTTTAGACTTCAATTCACCTCTCACCATGTGTCCAGAAAAGTTGCCCAGCAAAGAGAATGGCACTGTGCAGAGACAATGGTGTCTCAAAGGATCAGAACCATGCACACTCAGCAAGAAAGCCAGGTTCAATTCTTCTCTGTTTTCTTCCAAGATGCATGTATACTTGGTAGATGTTGCCAACAGCAATCAAGTTACTTTCTTCAGTGGTCCACTGATGAGTGGACAAGCATTCATTTGCCTTCACTGCATCTTTCTTTGTCGCTTTCCTCTTTCTATGGGCATCCTTTTCCTCGTTGCAGATCCCATCTTCCTTCATGTACACTTGCTCTGCACAATTTAGACTCCCTTTCATCACTTGGACATGTCCAGGTACCCAGGATGAATCTTTAAGCACTTGCCAAACCTTAACATGAAGAATCCCACAGGTCTAGGTGCAGAGATCAATCAAAAGAAGCTAGACAGCTTTGCATAAAAGATAGAGTTTGACAGCTGCAAGGGTCTTTTCTTAGGCAGATTTTTGCAAGTAAAAAGAACTGTCTCCATAATTTTGACAATGAAGATGCCTCACCTGCTGTCCTCCAAATATGTACACAGGCATTCAAGGAAAGTCCAATTGAGAGGGAGAGAGAGAGAGAGAGAGAAGAATAATTTGAATATTAGCTACCCTTATCCTAGGCACACAAAACATTATGAAAATGCATCCAGTGAAACATCCAGCATGTCTTACAATGTTGTTGTAAAATATAAACTCCTAGGTAGATCATGGAGAACAAAAGAAGCTTCCCAGAAACTGTCTTTGCAAAGATTAAATAGCATGATGCACTTGCCAATTATTTTCCAGGTACAAACCTGGGGTACAAAGAACATATGACTTCTAGAACACATGATGCATTGGAGAAACAGATTTGAAACATCCATAAGGTTAATACAAAAGAGGACACATGTACCAATGGATCTAGTGATATTGGTGCACAATTGGTATAGTTGCATCTGGATAGATTCTATTTAGAAGAAAAGACCAGGGAAATAATCAGCAGAATCATAAGTTGGACAGAGAATTTAATTGCTTAGCTAGCCCATGGTTGCAATTTGCACCTTCATGAACCCATGAAGATATCAAATGATGAGCGATCGCATAGGGTCCAGGAACGAACATTGGTGCGAGTTCTCCACTTTCCACGTTAAAGTCTGAAGAGAAGTTCTGACCTCTCTCGACACCCCCGCACATTTGGTTGACCTTCAAGGCAGCTGTCTTTTGAGCTTTCTCATATTCGGCAAAAGTAAGTGCCTTTTTGACATCCTCTCTTTTGTGCCACTGAGCATCTGAAGAAAAGAAGTATATAGTATATTTCTGCTGCGTTGTCGTAGTTGCCACTTTCTATGAAAACTACTGAATATACTTACCTTCTAGCTCCACCTTGTCCACATGAATATCAAATGATTTGGCATATGCAAAGAACCCCACCATCAACTGACTTGGCATACTGCTAGGCCCAACTGAGAAAATATAAAACTTCGTCAATTTTGTTTGTGCATGCTTGTCTTTGATTTAGAATGGTAAAAAAAAATAAGCATAAAGCTAAAACATCCTCATGTTATTTCATTTATTTTCTTGAATATTTGTTTCCCATTGAAATATGAACCACGTGACTATATACTTCAGTGTTTTTAAATATCAGAAAAAATCACAGCATTTCATTCAGTTGAGTGCATCTCAGATACAAAAGTGCCTTTAAGATGCTTGACTACATACGATTTTTTATAATTGAAAATATTCACATCTTCCTTTTTATGACTTTGGATCTTTTCATGGACTACATTTAACTGAAACCAATAGTCGTAGAAAATCTCGGGTACATTTGTTTCTATTATATGTAAGTCATAAAATTGTATAAACTTCATTTGCAAGCTAAAAAATACGAATGTGGACTTTATTGTCATTGTTCATGGTAAGCAAAAACACTATTTTATCACAGTACAGACAAACAAAGAGCAAACAGGCAATCAACTGAAGAAACAATAAACACAATCAGTCATTTAGTTCTTGATGCATAGATGTTTTCTGAGTTTGTAACTGAAAGGTAAGTCGACTTTTGCTATTACTAGAACAAACATTTCCTATTATGATAGAGTATCTTCCTTGGCTTCTAGCTGTTCTGAAAAGAAATAACAACAACAGTCAAGATCAAGATTTAAGTCTTCGATGAATGCATTCACTTCAGCCACATTTAAGGCTTTACTTATAGAATAAAACAAATTCTGGTCAGATATATCCATATGGCTTTCTCATATGATGGTTCTAGTATCCTACATATTTTAGAAATCAAGCATTCAGTTCGCATGTCTAGGGTGGTACCTCAGCATAAAACATTCTGTATATTAATAACTGAACATATAATTGGAATATCTAACTCAACGAAAAAATAATGTGTTAAAAGTTTCTGTTCATCATCCAATTTCTAACCTTTCAATGAGTTTCTTCGACCAAGAATAAAAGATTGTCTATGGTGGTTGCAATTCCATCAAATTGAGCTCAAGAAACTGGTGCTGCTTCTTGCTTAACAGAAATTGCATTTGTAAGACCCATCTGATTCTACAATTATATGAATCTAATACCCAAGCACTATTAACTGACTGTAAAATTCTATAGCTTGATTTCAAATTCTTGCCAATTCTTGTTCAAAAATACTTATAAGAAGAAGAGACAGAAGTAAGACAATCTTTGAGAATGTTCACTCATTATTCTTTTCAGAAAACCCAATCTCTAGACATTATGTTGCATGTTTGGGAACACAAAATGGAGAGATAGGTAGATACCAGGCCATGGCTGTGAGCTGTGGTAAACAACTTCACCCACTTCAATACCAGTCTCTTCCCTAGTTTCTCTTCTTACTGCCTCTTCTAAGCTCTCTCCTGGCTAAGAAAATTAAGCAGTTAGCAGTTACAGTCTAGATAATCTCATTTCAACTTGCATCACAAATAGTTCATATCTCTCGGAGAGGACATACGCATGTCATCATTCTGACTTAAATTAAGGTATCAGTACCTCTATAAAACCAGCAAGACAACTCCACATGCGGGGCACAAACCTCGATTGGTGGCTCAACAGTGCACGATCATTCTCCTTGTCAATCACGAGCATAATGACCACCTACTTGAGATTATTAGCCATGCGACAAGAGTGAGCACCAACAGAACAATTCAACAGTGATGGAAGTAGAGGGATCAAACTATACAGGATCAACTCGCGGATAAATTCTCTTCTTGCAGGACCCATTCGTGCATTGCTTCCGCCTCCCTGCATCGGTGGAAACTGTGCGAGCTCCACAGTGCCCACAAAAACGTGACACATCGTGCCACTCTAGCAGTGATCGTGCCTGGTCCAAGATAAGATGGGAGAAGTCCGGAACTTCTAGTTATGAGCCACATCATCATGACAACGAAAGAATAACAACAGGAAACAAGAACAGCTAAAGATGGTTGCTAAGAGAGCAAACGGAAATTATATGATGTCAAATATAATGAATAGTTTAAATATATGTGGGGACATGTTGCCACACTATCATCATTAAGTGGGAAAAGAGGAATGTTCTTCATCAAGAACCGAGATTACCATAGTACTACTTACATCAGGAACTCGGTAGCATTTTTGTTCACAGCATGAAACTAAGAGTATGAATCGATTAATTCCGAAGTAAAAGCGATCAGCTTTGGCTGGTATACTTCGTTCCGACGTTCTTCAATATGGCGACTTTTGTCCCTTATTTGATCAATTCCCATACAGAGACCATAAAAGATCATAGCAGAAGAACAGCTTACATGTCCGGCAATGGCCAGCTCCCCCATCGCATCCGCATCGGCCCAATCGGTAGCAACCATCAACGTCCTCAACTCCACGAAGCACAACCCATTGCCGCCGCCTCCCAGCTCAACATTGCCCGCGTCAGAGACGTCAACCGCCCAATAAACGGTGCCGGCTTCCTCCACGGGGCCCGAACCCAAGTAGACGAAGGATTCGGCCGCTAAGTCCCCAAACTTCGCGGCAGAAACCCACCCAAGATTCCACCTTGGCGCCGAACCCGACGTGGAGTCGACGGAGCGGGCCAAAGGTCTGCCCTTTTTGAAAGGCAACACCCTGGCAACTTCCGAGGACCCATCGGCCGAACCGGAGAGGAGGGATTTGAGGGCGTCAAGGGCGGAACCGGGGGAGGACGATCCCTCCGACTTGGGGTGGCTGGATCTCAGCGGATTTCCGGCGAAGGCGTGAGATCGAAGATTGATGGACATGGCAGCCCCGTAGCGACGAGAAGGAGGACGATCGAATCCTTCGTGAGGTGGAATTAAGGTTCTTGAAGAAGGACTTCGCGGTCTCAGGTATAAAGCGAGATGAATTCGCTTGAGGAGACGGGAAGCGACGATCATCTCGCGGTCGCCATAGTTACGACGATTGCGAGGGCGGGAGGTCGGTGGAAGTAGGGCAAGGATCCCTGACGCAGTCAACTGCGAAAGCATGTATCCATTAGATCGTAGATGCGAGTGATCATCTGATCTGACGACTGAAAAGAAGAGACTTTTCACATGAACCAGCGACAGAGGTGGAAAGCAAGCAGTGGATTTTAAGGCTCCCACGTTGTTCCATACAAGAGCGTCGCAGATGGGTGGACGATGCCGTCGCATGTCGTCGCTTTCATCACCACCTAATCTCTACCGTCCACTGCTTTCTTTTATTTTTATTTTTCTAAAAACCCTGAAAGAAGCATAAATTTTGAGATCCGCAAATAGATATTTCATAATTAATTTAATATTTAATATATAATATAAAAATAAAATTTAATTTTAAATAAGTCGTATGATACCCTGTTATCTATAAAGGATTAATATCTTTATATCTTCCTACATCTTTAATTACTTTGAAAGTTCGTATTTGTGAGTTAGCTGATTTTACATAATATTTATTTGAATAATCTCCTTTCAAGATTTTATTTTTTTTGACCCAATTTTCATATTATCACTTGGTATCTTCATCGTCAATGTCGAGATTGTACTCTCACGACAGGGTTGAGTTATATTCAACCAAGAATCACTTAATAAAAATCCCGTAAAATTATAATAAACCCTACCTAATCGTCTCTATTCTATAACGAAGAATGATTAAGATTTATATTTTGATATTTGGACTTCCTAATCATCGCCCTCTCCCCTCCCTTTTTACTGGCCGATCAACTAGAATTAGAACAAAAGGAATAATTCACTTAGGAAGTAGCCTTAGAACTAGAGTTTGGAATCTTATATAAACATATAACCTTATCTCTTTAAGAATAAAATCTATCTATAATTACAGCACCGATTTATAGGAGGGTAGAACCCTATAGTGTTCAAGGATTGATCCCTTCTATGTCGCGAGTACTTTCCCGTCAAAGCCGAGGACGGAGTCCTCTTTCAGGCCGCACTCGAAGCAGCTGGAGGGCTGGCGAAGTTGTGTCAGGCGCAGGAGCAGTACCGGTCGCCAGGGCGGACGTCGGGGCCGCTGAATCCGAATGACGGCCCGCCGCGAAGGCCGCTGCAGTTTGAGGGGGGAGAAGTCACTGTGCCAATGGACACCAACATGATAACGGAAGGTGAAGGACTCCATTTCCCACCTTTGGATGGATAAGAAGGAAACGATCACATCCACTTCCAATGATCACCTACTAGCAAAACAGCCATTGCTTTTCTAGAATTCTCGCTTGAAGTGAAACCTCTCTGAGTCTTCTTTTAGTGGATAGGTATAAGGAGGGAGGAATCATCCATGCAATGTTTTTCGTGCACCATTGCTGAATGAAAGGAAGAAAACTGGTGGATTGTCGAATGATGAAAGTGGTCTTCGAGGATGGCTTTGACCGTCTTTTCGGCTTGTTTGATGTGCTTGCGTTGATTGCCATTTCCCCATCCTTGTTCAACTCCCCCACCCACTTCTCTTTTTCTGCTTTTGCTTTTGCTTTTGCTGCTCTCTGTTTTCCCATGGTGTTAACATTCCCTCCCTTCTCTCGCGTGCTGCAAAAGCGCAGTGGCGAACGGTGGAAAGAAAGACCATCACCAAGCTCTCTGTCTCTCTCTCTCTCTCTCTCTCTAATGTCTTTTGTCTTTGTTGTGCTACCCAGACTCATTCTACAAACACTGGCACATGAAAAGGTGAATTGTCATCACAGTGAAGAACATGAAAGTTAGAGAAGGGAGGGCGATGGCAAGCACCTGCTTCGTTCCGCTCTCTCTCCCTAGTCCTCTGCTGTTGCCTTGGAACAGTTAGTTTATCCATGCTCGAAGAGAGATGAAGAGCACAAGAACTTCCACCAAGCACCAGAGTAGAGGAAGACGTCAAAGAACCGAGCACAGATCTCAAAGTGATCGATTTGGAGGGAAGATGGTGGGATCGGCCCATGATTTGTGGCCCGTCATTTGGAGGCTCGGCCCACATTGTACATGCCTCAATATTTCTTTCACTGACATCTACCTAAAAATCGAATCCGAATCCGAATCCGATAAAGAGTTATTGGGTAATTAATACATATAATCCCTCCCTATAAAATCTTTATTATAATTGTAAAAAAAATTAAAAATATTTTAGTATTTCAAATTAAAAATATTTGTTTGATCAATCCAAATTAAAATTCAAACAACTGATCATTTAGCAAGTGAAGATCCCACAACAACACAGCTATTATGGTTATAATTACCATCATCATCATCATCATCATACGGACTTCGATTCATTCAATGATGACAATGGAAGTAGCTCATCCTCATCCATATGGTCGTGCTTGTGGCATCATGAAGCCATGCACTTATTCGATGCCCTTCATCATTCACACCCCGACCACATCGAGCGAGGCGAAGGGAGGGGAAGTGCATGATTGGGAAACATGAGGTTCTTAATGGCACATTCAGTGCAAGAGATGTCATTCATCATTGCCAGGGATTCTGTACATGATTTCCCTGGTGGGAATTCAGCAGCAGCCATTAACTGTAGCAGAAGAAGAATCCCATGCATGTTTCCAGCCATTACGTGATGATAAGTAATTTTTCTGTGTATTGATCGAATGAAGAAAGTATACAAAACTCATACGTGCCTTTTCATGGCGATGGTTTCGATCATTCACTGCCTCCTCCTGTCGCTGTATTGAATGCTGCAGGCGCTCCAACTCAAACGACGTCGGTGCACGAGAATCTGTGGCGTGGCAGAGAAGGATGGGGAAATGGGACGTGAGACGCGCATGCCTCTGCGAGTTCATCACGCTCTCTCTCTCTCTCTCTGTGTTATTATTGCTCGTCTTCACCCATCTGTTGCTGCTTATCAGTTCATCATGAACTTCGAAACCACACTTAAATGATGCCTTTCTGTCACCACATCATTACTGTCCTTCTTACGATCCACAGTCATCGACTGCTCCGGTGGCTGTGCACTGTAAGCATATTACTAGTGTATGGAGAATGTGCACTTTAAATCCAAACAGATATGACTTCCTTCTCGTGCAACTGAGGATTGTTGAGTCTTCTTGTGTTCTTTCCTTATCCTGTTCTTTCCTTATCCTGTGCATCTAAGGACTTGGATTAAACTCTTAGTACCAAGAACAAGATATCATGTCCTACAAAAGACATCACAGCCGTATCTTTCATGTTTCCTTCTAATAGTTAGGTTGATAGAATCACCATCTTGTTTGATTTTACAGAAGAGCTACACGAACTGTGGTGACCGACATTGCAAATCACCAAATACCATTTCTTTCCAAAAGATTTGGGTCTACTTTGTCATAGTCAAAGTAAAAAAGATGAAACGCTTACCAAAACAGTCACGTTGAAAAGACAACAGATAGTTTGCAGAGAGGAAGTGAGACCAAAACGATAAGAGAAGACTCGAAAGAGTTCACAGAGAGGGGAGAGAAGTGAGACCAGAACAATAACAAGGTTCTTCAGCTCCCCTGATTGCTGTGGAATACAAGGAAGTCATGGCCACGATCTTCACACTGAGTCTTTCTTGTAGCTTGATTCAGGAGCTATCAGTTCTAATATGTACATGAAGGGAACACTCAAAAGTAGTCAATATGCTGAGGGATGTGGTATGGCTCATCCCTGACCTTCTTGCTTAGCATTTGAGCTGCTACCGGACCTTTGCTCCGACTCCGAGCTCTCCTTGAGTCTCCGGGGACCTCAGGTGGCCTCACTGACCTGATGAGAGCCCAATTCACACCCTTGAAGAACACATGCCTTTTGATCTGGGCAGATCCCTTCACGCTCCCGATCCTCTTCTTGGGGTTCTTCACCAGGAGCTTGCTGATGAGATCTTGCGCTCTGAGCAACTCATCGAGCTCCTTGCCTGTTGCTGCCGCCACGGGAAACGAAAGCGGCGCCTTGATGATGTTGACGAGGGTCCTCTCGTTGTCCTCGCCTTTGAACGGCGTCCTGCCGTGGATCATCTCGTAGAGGAACACCCCGAGCGCCCACCAGTCGACGGCGCTTCCGTGGCCGGCGCCGGAGATCACCTCGGGCGCGAGGTACTCGTGCGTCCCGACGAACGACTTCGACCGCGCGGTGATGGGCTCGGCGACGAGCTCCGGGTCGAGCTCTTCCTGATCATCCAAGTCATCCTCCTCGGGCGTCTTCGGCTTCCTGTCGTGCTTGTTGGCGCCACGGCCGTAGAAGCAGGCCAGCACCGGCTGCATGGGCGGCACGCAGGACGAGCCGGAGCCCTTCGCGTTCCTCGCCACGGGCTTGCCGCTGAGTCTTGGGGTCATGAGCTTGGGGACGACGTCGCACTTGAGGGAGAGGTCAAAGTCGGAGATCATTATGTGGCCGTCGTCCCTCACGAGCACGTTCTCCGGCTTCAGGTCTCTGTAGACCACGCCCATCATGTGGAGGTACTCCAACGCCAAGAGGATCTCGGCGGCGTAAAACCTGCGTAATAGCCATGCGTACATCTCGTCAGAACCTTGCAGTCAGACTACAACGATTGGAGATCGAGACAAAGGGGTTGGAGCGTTACTTGGCAGAGGAGATTGTGAAGCGGCGGCCGGGCTGGCGCTGGCGGACGACGTGCAGGTCGCCGCCGGGGCAGAACTCCATGAGGAGGCATGAGTAGTGAGCGGCGTCGAAGTCGGCGTACAGGGTGGGGAGGAAGGGGTGGTCAAGCGTGCGGAGGATCTCCTTCTCGGTCTCCGCACGCTGGAGCTTCTTGCGGAAAGCGAGCGCCTCCCGGTCGACCACCTTCATGGCGTAGAGGCAGCCCGGGAAGCGGGGGTCGCGGAGCCGGCAAAGATAGACGTTGCCGAGGTCGCCGCTCCCGAGGCGACGCACGAGGCGGAAGTGCTCAAGGCGGACGCTGCCGGAGGCGGCGCGGAGACGCTGGATGGCCTCCCACTCGGCCTGATTCGCCTTGTGGGGCTTCAACTGCTGCTGCTGGCCTCCGCCGCGGCAGGAGCGGGCGGAGATGGAGCTGGAAGTGCCGAAGCTGATGTCGCTAATCCAGCTCCGGCGGGATTCGAGGGCAGTGCTAAGGGAAGAGCAGCTGCTGTCGTGGTCGGAGTCGTCTCGGCCTGCGGTGGCTGCCATGGGCTGGCTCGTTCGACTTTTGGCGTGCAGGAAGCGGGCTTCTAGCTCATCAAGGTCTCCCCTTACACACACATAATATCACCGAGTATATTTATACTAAGAACAGTTATAGCGGGAAGCATTCCGATTTTTAGACTTAAACAATTTTATATTAAAATTTTATAATTATAAAAATAAAATATTTAACTCTATTTATTATAATATCATCAATTTAACCAACGAAATATATCACACATATAAAAATAATAAATAAAAATATAATTTTAATATCTCAATTGCATATTCAGTGGTGACGGACAACGATATCGTCAGAGGCCGTGGGTGACTGTTATGGATAAAAAGAGAAAGCAATGATGAGAGATGAGGCAAAAAGGAGAGAAGAAAGATGACAACGAAGATATCAATGTGTGTATTTACGTCGGCGCCGACAGACGTTGTCGAACAACCGTGTCGGTGTCGATACAGATGTAGATGTAAAGCGATATTATTTTGCATCTGCGTCAACACTAACAACATTATGGGGAAGGACGACATCACTTTATATCTACATCAGTGTTACTCTGCTCGACATTGACACAGATGTAGAGCAGTAAAAGGGCCACTCGACATATGCATCAGTGCCAACGCAGATGCAAATGCAGAGCGTTGCTGACAACGATGCGAGGAAGAGCAATGTCCCTCTACACCTACATCAATGTCGCTCTGTATTTAAGTTGACGCCAACAACAATGCGAGGAAGGGCAGTGCCCATCCTTCTTACCCCCTTCCTCGATCCCTCATTCTTCTTCCCCCTTTCGACGCTTAACAAGCGCAAGAGGGAAGAATGATAAGCGATACAAAGGGGAAGAAGGATGATCGATGCTCAACATAATTGCATCATCACTCATCCTTCTTCCCCCCTTGCGCATGCCAAGCGACAAAAAAGCGAAGAAGGATTTCTCGTATCGTTATCGACATCAACGTAAATGCAAAGTGACACTGATGCATATGCTGAGCATCGACATCTACATTGTCCACTTCCTTCTTCTTCCCTCTGTTGCTCGCCCTCCTCATCCTCCTTCCCCTACAAGAAGCCACAAAAATCCCCAACATTCTCATTGATTACAACCACAATAGCCATTGGTAGCTCCCAACAACGTCGTCATCCATCATCACCGAAAATATAATTAGAACGTTAAAATTATATTTTTATCATTCTAATATCATTTAGGATAAATAAAATTAAATATTTTATTTTTATAACTATAAGGATTTCAACATAAATATAACGAATATATTTATAATAAGAACAAGTTATGCCATACTGCAGAGAGGTTGAGCACCACATAATTAGGTTCTAAAGTTGAAAGGACCACGATACCTAATTAAATACGATTGATTTTTAATATAAAAAAAAACATTATAGATATTCTTCCTGCATCCATCCCACCGTAGGAAGACACTCCAGACACAGTATGACAACCCATAAATAAAATAGCAACCAATGATAGAGAGAATAATTTAGTGTCAACTAAGCCTTATATTTTTGCCATTCATTGAGGTGTAGGATTGAATTGTAATCATGGGCGGCAAAAGATCAAACAAGTGGAGAGTTGTTTATGTTCCTCTTCACTTTCCATTTGCACCAGAATGATCATGCCCGGTGTTTCTGTTGTGCACAAGAAACAATCACCGAACATGAAGTCTCACACTCAACTCAGATATTCATGAAAGGATCGACACCGGAGATGCATTGTAAAAGTTCAAATCTCAGAAGGCATATTTCACCATGTATTTTTCCAAGCCAATAAAGAATATTAAGTTATCAGCATCAACCAGTATCCTAAAAATGTTTAGGTTACAAAGTAAATTTCACCATGGATTTTTACCATTCACTTATATCTAGCTTGCAACTAAGAAGCTGACAATAAAACATGCTGCCATCTGAGTGCATTTCCTTAGAGATTTACAAGTCAAGAAGACGATGAAAATAAGCTTGCACTATATGATTTGAAAACGAGTAGCCGTCTGTAAGCAAATTCGAGTACTTACAACACATAAAACACTTCAAACAAGAAGAACAGGGCGTGACATACCTCCCATAACATCAAAATATCTCAAGTCTTTAAAATTAATGTTGTCACGGTATAAAGCAGCCACCGACTTCACCAAAAGCTGGCAACATCAGTAGGAATGGATCCTAAAGGCCAACAGAGTCTAAAAAGTTGTTACATTGGTAGCCCTAAGAAGTTGGTTTTAGCAAACACAAATAGACCACTATAATATGTTCAAAACAGACAAACCTTCATCAATCTGACACTCTTATCAAGAAAGAATGAGGTCTCTAATGTGGCCAGTATATTATTTGACAATGCACTAAAACCCCAAGAGTCCATTGATAATTGATGGTAGCCAAAAAGAAAAATACAAGCAAAAACATAAGCCACACTTGGGCAAGAAAATTGAAGATACCAAAAAGTTGTCTGAAGCTACACAACAGAGAGACTTCCCCCCTCACCAATTTTTATTTCTTGCATGATTCAGCTCCACGTTCAGTGATCATCTTCATCACCATGTCCATCTGGGGGCCCTCCCTCACCAATCACTTCCAGCTGCAGAAACAGAGTTTAGTTTGAGTTGTTCTACTTTCAAACCAACAAGTATCTATTGAAAAATGTATTACACGCATCTCATTTTCTTTCATAGCATTGTGAAGTGTAGAAAGTCATCTCAATTACCACAAAGTATTGTGAGCACACAGGGCATTCATGAGGCTTGCCTTTCTCCAACCAAAACCAGACAACATCATGTTCATCCTCTGCAAAAAACAAAAAATATATATATGTTAATTTCCAGGCACCAGACTCGAGGTATTCCATGAAGGCCTGATGAAAACAACTGTTTTATGTTATTTTGTTACCATCAAAAAGAAAATTAAGTATAAGATGGCAGAAAACCTGCAAAAGTGAAAACTGAGAACCTAATAGCATCTTATTTCTGTCAACTTACCACCTTCACCACCAGGACAGCCAACTATCCTCTTGTCATAATAAGATTGGATGACAGCAGGTGCTTCCTACAAGTAGACCAAAGATGGGACAATTTATGATATGACAGCACAATGAAACATTTCTTAAATAAAAAAAGTCAATCACCAACACCTATGCTCATTATCCAGCTGAATATATATATATATATATATATATATATATATATATGTGTGTGTGTGTGTGTGTGTGTGTGTGTGTGAAAGCAGCCACGTTCATCAAGAACAGTAAGCCAAAAAGTCATTGTCCAAGCAGTACAAGGAAACCACATCGCAATATTGACTTTTATTAATATAACTCCTAGCAGAAGTTTGCCAAGGCATAGGAATCAAGCCATGATGGACAACAAGATAAAAATTGTATAGATCAATGCAATAATAGATTACTAATTGAATAAGGAAATTAAGATGTGGAAGAACCTAGATATAGGATCCCTATCACAGTAATACTATACTGCATTTAAGCATGGAAGCAAATAAGGATATGGATTATTTAACACTTAAAACATGTGATATACATATTGTTCAATTATGGTTTTTACACTTGACTGACATGACAAACATCCATCAGTATCTCATTAGAGAAAAGCAACGGAATAAAAAAGACCAAACATAAGCAAGCCTGATCGCTTGATTATTACACCAAGAGCAAAAAATAATTTGACATCAAATATTAGTAATGACAAATGTCATAAGAAGACAGATAGAACCTATAGGAGATTCAAAGGCACTGAACACACTTCCCTGTTCCCAGGGATTTTATATGCTCCAAATTAACATCACTACAGTTCAATTAAGGTTGTTTTTCAATGCAAAAAAATACTTTTAACATCAAATTTTCCTGTGGTGATGGACAAAATTGACATGAATTTACCATGGAATCTATATATACTTGTTTTGGGGCAAGCTCATTCTTAAAGGAGGTGACTGCGATAGAAGACTGGTGAGATTTTATCTCTAGGTTTTTTTTTATCAGGGAGGTGTTTATTGCCAAACGATGACAACTCTTATTGATGGATCCTTCTTTAAAAAAAAAATAGAACAAAGCTCATATATGCATTTGAGATCTTTTTAAATCTTCACCATATCTCAAGCCTAATTGTGTTAAGAGCGTCAGTGGTTGCAAGGAAGTGGACCACAAAAAGTAAAGTTCTTACAGAAGTGACCATTTCTGCTGTAGAACTAGTAAGATGAGTCCCAAAGAGAGAGCCAATTCTGACTTGCAAAGGAGGCTGACAAAGTCAACTTCTGAGTTGACGATGAGGAGGAGAGGGCTGGTAGGCAGCATGTGGCTTGCAACAGTGGGTATCATCAAGCTTTGAGAGGCACATGTGGGGGATCACCAGAGAGGCAGCTTTTAGGATTAAAAATAACAAAAAAAAGTAAACAAGGGCTTGCCTAAATTTACAAGGTAGTTGCTAATTTTTTATAATATCAACATATTATTACCATTTATCAATTTACTGTCATGCCTAGATACACATCATGATTTCTACCTGGATACTCAATGAAAAACACTTCCCTCTTTTAGTTTCAACTAATCCAATCATTCTAGCATTGCCCCAAAGTATTGACATCTCAAGAATTCATTTTTCACTTCAATGAGAAAAGAATATTATGTATTTACAAGCACTAGTTTCTACAGCTCCATCAAATCTGGTCATCATAATGCAAGGATGGAAACCATGATTAAGTTTCTGCAAATCATTTACATAAATCTAATATTCTGCGCAGCTAAACAGCAGTTAACCAGTAATATTTTTGTAAACCAGTGACAAACTTGTATATTAATAAAATATGTATTATACCTATAAAGAGTTATCCATGAGAACATAGACTTCCATCAGAAAGAACTCTAAATACATTTTTTGACATATATATAGATGCTTATTGTTTTAGAGCTATGTCTCTACTAACAAAGGAAGAAATAATTAACTAGGGATCCAATTTTTATACCTCAACACAGTTGCATTTGTGCTCTATATGAAACAATGTGATTTGGCTTAAAATTCACATGATACTTTCCAAGATACAGCTTAAGCTTTTGCGTCAGATTGTCATTAATGAAACCCATGTAAAGAAGTCGAATCAAATTAATCCTGGTTTCTGAGATCAATTAGATGTAAAAATAAGTTAGACAGGTGACTGTAAATTTAAGGCTCCCGAAGGGCCTCAAAACAGTCCAAAAGAACAAAAAGAAGTGTGAAAGATGCATATCCATATATAGTGGTCCTCTCGGTCACACATCCGAATCTATTTTGGTAACACGAGGAATATATCCACAACCATATTAAAGAGGAAGACAAACCAAATACTGCGGCTAAGGTCTCAAGAATTAGAACCCCTATGAGAAAAGAGAAGGAACAAGAACCCCTACCTTGGTGCCGAAGGGGCCTACGGGGGCATCCATATCGAACCGCTTCTTTCCCTAAATACCGGAATAAGGAAACATCAAAATACGGTCAGTTTCCTGACAACTCAAAGCATACGATTTTGAGATCGGAAAAGGAAAAAAAGAAACCTCCAGTTCGGCCTGGATCTCCTCGCGCTCGAGCCCGGTGGCAATCGGCATCACGTCCTCCACCCTCTTCTTCAACGATCCATCACCTGAAGAAAGAAGGAGAGGAGGAAGAGATCGACCAAATCCGGATCAGCTTCTACGAACTCCCGATCCAAGATCTCGGAAACAGACGAAGAGAACCCCTAAGGAGAAGAAAGGTCCTACCTGAAACGGAGGAGAAGAACACTGCCGGCTTCGGGGAGGGCGGGAAGGGGGAGAGGGCGCGGCCGCGAAGGGGGGCGGACGACGGATGGGGTTTCGCGAGAGCGGATCGCCGAGGGGCGACGCAAACCCTTCTCCACATCGTCTCTCTCACTCTCTCTCCCTCCCTGTTCGGCCAGTGTGTTCTCAGGTCGACGGCCGCCCCTTGCCACACTCGTTTCCCTTTCGCTGTTAATAAAAGAATAATATACACCCTTGTCACGGCTGGTTGACACCGCAAAGGGGAAGTGGGTTTTGGGCTCATATCGTGTTGTTTACCTTTGGCCCAGTTGGCCTTGGTAGTATCAATTTTAGTGTTATTCTAAAAATAGTTGTAATAATGACGACAACAATGATACTATTAATGATAATGACATCGTTATAATAGAAAAATTATAGCGATTGCTGTTGTAAGAGGAGAAGATTATGGTCCTTTTTTCACCGACGGGGTTTTGGAGAGAGACTCGACGCCACGAGCAATTATCAAGATTTAAGCATTCCCAAACCTGAAATCAACGCTGCAGCAAACTCACTACCCTCCACAAATCCTTTTCTTGGTGGATCCAAAGTACGTTCAAGAATTAATCACATAGCATTTGTCATCTGCTTTCTCCACAGCCAAACGAGAAAAAAAGCTGGCAGTTATTACACAACATCCGGAAACCATAGAAGCAGCCCTGATAGGACTCGGCAGACACCAGAAAGATAGCACTACCATCAAAATCATGCCATGTTCAACTAGCATCCAAATTAAACATATAAATTCAAGAACAATCGCTCCAAAGTCCAAATTCCAAAAATTAGAACATAAGAGCACGTGTTTATATCGCATATGATACTTTTAAAGTACAATCCAGTTATTCCCCGTACAGGCATCCGGTGGTCTCTGAAGACAATCTCTCTTGACGCTCAGCTGCTCACAGATAAAGAGCCTTAAGAGTTAATATAATATTATTTTCTATCTCCCACCGGAATCAGGGGAGCCGTCTCCATACGAAACCAACCCTTTCTTTCCATGAGAACTGGTGGAGGGAGACCTCGACTGCTCCTTGCTCGCACGTTTTGGAGAGGGAGTATCCTGGGAAGAACGAGACCTGGATTTGGACCTCGAACTAGAACCAGACCTGGAACTGGACCTCGACCTGGATCTGGATCTGGATCCAGATGGGCTTCTGCTTTTAGAAACTGACACACGCTTTTCAGGGCGAATGCTATCTCTTGCACCGCGTGACCTTGGTTTTTCTGAAGCTTGCGAAGGACTGCGAGCTGGGCTGATGCTGTAGCCACCTCTTGCCCGGCCACGATAGCCAACAGGGCTGCGAGATATGCTTCGAGTAGGGCTCCTCCGACTTCGGTACCTACATACATGATTAAGGAAGGACACAAATAAAACAACAAGGCAATAGACGTTGAAGGTAGAGGTCAGCATTGCAAAACCAAGACATATATGAGAGAACAGATCTAATAAGTTTCTCCACATTCACCTTTGAAATTTTAAATTTATAAACACTACAAGTTTTTTATGATATTCAGGCTATAAAAGACCAAAACAAACTGAATAAAACACTTAAAAATAGTTGAAAAAACTCAGGGGGAAACCCAAGACATTGGACCAGACCTCTCCAAGTTGAAAGATTCAGTTTAGTTTAGTTCACATCACTTTGCAGCATAGTAAACATTCCAGGAAGGAAAGATTACCTTGGTGGGGTTCTTCCTCTTGGAGGGCTCCTATATCGTCTAGGAGGAGAGCGATTGTGGTAGCTTCTATAGCTTGAGTACCTAAAAAAGCAATAAACAGGGTCATACATGACAAGGAAATTCATAACTATAAAGAACATCACGCATTAGAGTACCATTCACAATCATTCAACATAAAGCCACACTACCTATCACGATCATTTCTTCCACCATAACGATGCAATCTAACAGGAGAACGATCAGGGGATGGAGTTCGGTATCTTCTAGCAAAGGAGTATTGCTGACTGAAGCCTCTACCCCTCCTTATACGCTTAGGAGATCCATCCGGAGAAACACTTCTTGATAAGCTCCTTCGACGATTGGATGGAGGTGATGCGGCCCTGTGAACAGGACTCCCCTGGTTCCTGCTGATGCTTGGTCGTGACCGAGCCTGTACAGGGCTATGGCTTTTACTTCTGCTTCTAGACCTTTCAGGGCTTCGGCTTACACTTCTCCTAGCCTTCACTGGGCTTCTGCTAGGGCTTCTCTGCTGCAGAGACCTTCCTGAGCTTCGGCTAATGCTCCTCCGTTTTTCATTGACCGGACTTCTATTCAAGCTTCTTCTAATAGGAGTCTTGTCTTGGCTTCCACTAAGATTTCTCTGCTGCAGGGACTTTGCTGGGCTTTTGCTTGCACTTCTGCTATGAACTTTAACTGGACTTCTGCTCTTGCTCTTCCCAGTCAGGCCAACTGGATTTTTGTTTATGACTATTCTTATAGGACTTCTACTAATAGTTCTTCTAAATGGGCTCCTGCTGGTACTTCTCCGAGGTGGGCTTCTACTCATGCTGCTCTTTCGGGATACATGGTCAGGGCTTCCATCAAGATCTCTTGTACCGGGGCTCCTGCTTGCTGACCTTCTGGGACTTTGGCTGCCATTAGGACTCCTCCTTGGACTGATACTCATACTCTTACTCATGGACTGGTTCGGGCTCATGCTTTGGCTCCTGTTTACGAATGTCGAATGAAGTCTAAGTTCACCACGAAGGGGGAAGAAGAAAGGTTGATTCATGTGCAAGGAAAAACAAAAGACCTTGATTTATGGCCTTCTGAACCTGGTAGCTGATCCATATCCCTGCCAGACGTTGGTTCGGTAATGCCATTGCTCTGGAGCTCTCCATTTTCTCTTTGGGACTTGGCCTCTTCACCAACAGGCTTCTCAGGTATAGTTCCCTCATCAGGTAAATCGGTAATGATTTCTCTCTCCACAGGCAGCAGTGACTGTTTTTCATCTGAAAAAATAATAATACGGTTAGCAGAGAAGAATCTCATTATGTAATAAAGAAAGTTCAAACTATATCAAAGTAGTGACTCAGAATTATTTCTAGGAACTGGGAGAAAGGTAACATCTTCCAAGGCAGAAAGTCCCTAGAATAAAAAATATTAACGTTGTGATGCATTACATTCTCAAGTTATTTTCTTCATTATTAATGGCATTAGCAATATTTTAAAAATAGATTAATTAGAAGCACTGCCAAAATTCTGAAGAAGAAATTAGACATACCAGAAACATGAGATGAGACCTTAGACTTTCGTACTCGTCGTTTGTGATATCCATCATCATGAGAACTGCTACCATCGGTACTCTCTGTTTCAGATTCACTCTCCATTATCCTTGTAGCAGAGTATAAAAGTATTTATTCATTTGATGAATTAAGAGACAAACAAAAATTTTGAAATGCACTTTGAAAAGTCAGCCCAAATGTGCATGAAACATATATCAACTTGTGGAACGGGTTAGATAAAAACCTTCTGAGTTTGTGCCTTAATTTCCTTTCACGCTTTCTGCGCCTTTTCTCCTGCCCTCTATCCCTTTTCCTTTTGCCACGCTTGTACTTGTCTCGCTTAGAATACTTCCTCCTCTTGTGTCGCCGGTCATCACTTGAGCTGCTTACATCAGACATAGATGATGTGTCAGAGTCAGAATCACTGTCAGTATCTGAAGTTTCTGTTTCTGCATCTGACGAGCTATCCGATTCTGATGAATAATATCTTTTTCTTTTCCACTTCCTTCTTCCTTTAGAAGACTTTTTATGTCGTCCCCGCCGTCGACTATCATCAGAAGCATCCTTAACTTGCTTTGATTTGGAATCTTTCTTCTTGTCTGAATATATGAAAACCACATTGTCAGTTGGACAACTAAATAAAAAAAGGTATATACAGCAACCTGATTAGCAGCCAGAAGGCAGAAAAGGGTGAACTTTTTAATCTCAAAGTAAGTAGAAGCCTATTAGAAAAACAAATTTATTTTCCTTATGACACGTAGTACCATTTTCATGTACCACTGCTACATTTTCGCAAAGCTCTCCACAGTTAACAATCTTCACTAGAGCAACAGGTCTGTCACCATCCACATCAACATTCTCTATGTTCTTCAAGGTTTCATGTCCTAGAATGAGCTTCCCAAAAATAACATGCTTCCTGACAGAAGGGACAATGACCTACATATTAGAACTGAATCACATGCTATGACATGAGCTGGCAAATACTGCCAGCATAACAAAATGGGATAGCATATGTTGAGAGGAACATGTGCCTAGAATAATATCTAAATAAACAATGCAGTTTGCTATACATATACAAGCAAATCAAATGCATGCAGAAGAGGAAACAATTGTGAACAACCAGTGATCTGTTTAACATCTGTTGGTGATTCACTTTGTTATGTTCCATGAATCACAAGCTCAGTTGAATTACAAGATGCAAATGTCCATATGCATTTCCACAAATACACAGTATGAAGCAAATTTTATAACAAGAGCACCATGCCGCTTGGGACATCAGAGTCTGATGCATGAGAATTGCAAGATCTGAAAATTTCCTCATCTGTATGATTGAAGTATCAAAAACAGTCAAATAAGAAACCTCAATAGACAAACTTGGAACTAACCCGTTGAGATGAGGAGCGGAGTTGAAAGTGATGAAAAACTGAGAGCCATTAGCATCGCGGCCAGCATTTGCCATTGACAGAAGACCACGACCATCATGGTTTAGCACAAAATTTTCATCTGGAATAAATTACATGCACATAATGTACAGAGCAATATGATAGATGGTTTGGATAAAGGAAAAACACTAACACCAATATACATGCACATAGCCAGATTTTTAATCAAAAAAGAGGTAGGCACCAAATATTCGATAAACCAGATGACCACATTACCACCTCAATCATATTGACTAAATTAAATGTATGTCAAATTCTCATCCTAATAATTAGATAATTAAGTGTAAATACAAAGGTTCACCATACCGTAGCGTACCGCTCGGTATGGGTGGTACATACCAGTTCGACAAGAGACCGATATGGACAGGATATTAATATACCTCCATGTATCATGTGTCGATATGCTCGATACGTACCATACCGATAGCTAATCAGTACATCGAACAGACCGGTAAGACGAACCTTGGTAAATACTTCTCCAAGATATTGATTCCCTTCAAAGACAAAATTCTTTTATTTTTTAAATTATTAATTAATTGAATTTTATTTTATTCCTAGTTTATCTGCACATATTGGACAATAGATTTTAATTGCTAGTTAATTTACCAATTAAGATAAAGTTCTATAAAAGAAAATACTAGGGAATTACGTTGTGACCTTTAATCACACAACACTAACAAGATTTATAATGAAACAAATAGTTTTTTTCCTAGGGCAGCATATGTAGGTTTCACACAATTATAAAGAAATGTCTCTTCATGATACTGAAGCTTATTTACCTAAGGCATTTATAGCAATCCTACTTAATTCTAAATTTACCTGAAAATTTCCCACCATATATGCTTTCACCACCGGTCCCTGAAAAAGGGAGGATTTATCAATGAGCAAGAAATTAAATGAAACAGCAAGTTAAAGATACTAAAGAAACTTCCAGTTTTCAGTTATATATCCAATGTCAAGAGTAAAATAAAGAAGCATGCATGAGAAATAAGCAGGGGCAAACTGGCAGAGTATAAGTTAGGAATGTAGGTACAACTCACAAGATTCTCAATTGGCATATGTTCAAAAGGAAATGCTGTACCAAGACTTTCTATCTGTACATTCTAAACTAATAATGAGTCAAACATTTCACCATTTGCTTGTATTGTGAAACTACTATGATATCGTGACCTTCAGCATCATATGCTAATACTAAATAGGTATGATGATGTCTTAACATAGCAATTGCCACCACATGACATAATACTCCATAGATGATCAAATAAAATTTCCATGATGTGCACAAGTTAGCAAGTTGGCAAGAAAAAGAACAAAGATTATTGCTAGTGTTTGTACATATGCAACATGCATTTCTACACGTGTGCAAATCAATAGAACATCTGGAGCTTATGTAAGGAATTAATACACACATTGCCAGACTCTCAAACTTCAAAGACCTTTCATATATCTGGTAATTAAACAGAGGCAAGTGTATATGAGGTAATCAACTTAGGCAAGTGTATATGCTGTATAACAACAATATACTACACTTGCAAAAAAAAATCACAAAATAATATAGTAAAAACAGGATAATGGAGATGTAGAAAGCATACCATCACGTCTTGAAAAGTCACCACCCTGCCAAAATAACAATTACATCAAGCACCATTTTAGCATATAACACAAATCAGAAAAGGTTGGGCTCAACAGGCTAAGATATAAAAAAAAATGTTTTTAGGACACAACAAAATACAACCTTATAAACTATATGACAAGAAAAGCAGTCGTGACCATCTGCCCTGTATCCTACAGCTTAAACAAGCACAAACGACAAAGGGCAAAAGCTATCACATCTAATTTAAAAAACAAGAAAAGCAAGGCATACAGTCTCACGATAATGGAGGACTGCAATGTAAATAAAGAACATACCTGTGCCATAAAGCCCTTAATAATTCGATGAAAGACCGAACCCTTGTAATGCAGGGGCTTCTTAGTTGTAGGTCCAATTCCCATTTCACCTGTAAAGCTGAACTCATCAGCGGTCCATAATTAATGGAGTTGGTTCAAGTTCAACCATCTTTCGAATTAAGAAATAATCATTTTTAGCTAACAATCACCAATCATGTAATAACAAGAAGAAATGACTCTCCCATTAGAAAAAAACATGGAAAGACCTTTTTCTACAAATAATCTATGCATATGCCACCAATGACAAGGTAATTACAAGAAACAACTCTGTCTTAACCAGCCAATGTGAAAGTATATGACTTCTTCCACCACTAACAACTACTATGACAGCTGATTAATCAAGGGTCTCTTGACCAAATATATTATCACATGGTGTGAAGGCATACCCACCTCAGCACAAAATAATGTCAGTAGCTCCCTTCCCAACAGAGCGAAAATATCAAATAGATGAAAAAAAGGGACTGTTGAAAACAGTGGCAGAAAACTTTTCCCATTTAAATATCCATGGATACACAGCCTCAAACTTCAATAGAAGAACCTAATAAAAAGTATCAATGCAGCTTAACTACCATGGACATGCAGAAAAAAGGACAGAAACATTGACATCAAATAGAGCATCATGTTACTTTCTTGGTTCTGTTTTTGTAGTGTACACACACACATATACAGTCATAATTGAACAACACATCATGACTCCAAAAAGCAAGAAACTGTTATCCATCCATGTTGACGAACCAGCAGGAAAAAAACTTTGAAAGATTTGCTGGTGTTGCACATCATGGAAGTTGCAACAGTGAAATTCAAAGGTGGCATGTCAAAAAGGTTCAATGCCATACAGGTATGGCTTATCAATAATGGGCTCTATAACCTTTGTGTCCTCCATAAATGAGAAACCCTTCCCCTTGAGTTTTGCTTCTGCAGATTTCAAGTCATCACTACATAGGTCATATAAACAAAATCAAGATCCAGATCCACCGAAGATAATATAATTGTTATCAACCAGTATGGAATCAATGAGATATTATACTTCACAAAAGGAACAACAATCATAAAAATAAAAATAAATATTTTTTATCATATTTTAATATTTTCTGACATTGTTATGTTCTTATAGTTTAAATTACATATTTTATGTGTATATATATAACTCTATAAATGTATACATATATGTAAATAACTATATTCAAATTAGTTTATTGTAAACCACCATAGCTTTATTCCTTATCGATGAGATAGAAACTTGTGGCATCCATACATTGGCAGGCAATGGGAGCATCCATGGTTTATTATGCCTCACCAGCTTGGACGCTGGCGTATCCATTGTGGGGCCAGATGTTGTAACTGGTATCTTTGTTTAACAGGGAACATACATTGATATATCATATTATATTAATAATATACATAATGTAAGTTTATTGTATGAGATAATACAAATCTTGACAGCCCAATTATGAGAGCTTCATATTCAAAGCCCAAGAGCAGCACCAGGCAGCCAAGCAGAGTGAGGTGCAATTGGTAAGACGCTATTGAACAGTTAAGCTAGGAGGAATTGGCAGTTGAACAGAATGCTTTCATCCCTTTCTCCCTTCATCCACTCCTCCCCTACTCCGTCAGTCCATCTCCTCTGATTCTTTCTCTTCTTCTTTCCTTCCTTATCTTTTATCTTTTTTTTTCTTACAGCCATACCATGATGGAAATAGATTCAAAAGATTAACCAGCCAGAATTTGCTTTGTTGTCAGAATCAGCTGATTCTGATAAGTTTTGGCAAGTCTTTTATTGAGTCCACCTGATTTGATAAATACATTGAGAAAAAGAATTTTTCATAGAAAGAAAAGGTCTAATCCAATCAAGGAAGCTGATACAAATTAGGATTGGTCAAAAATAAAAAAATGCTCAGTTTACAAGGGTCCTCATCCAAAGTTAGCAATATATCTTCCACAAATTGGTCACACACATTAGGAGCTCCACTTAGTTGACCAAAATTTTGATGCCCTGACATCAATACACAAGAGCAAATCACATAGATATCATGCACACAAAACAATGTATAATATTATAATATTAAATTATTCCCAAAAAATTCATATATTTTAAATGCTTCGGGCTAACTGCCGAAACTGAAATTTTAAACCATCTATTTAATTCTGAGACAGCAAATCTGATCCAGCTAACACCCATTTGTTAAAACTCCTGAATTCTCCACCCACCCTAATATTGATGATCAATTTTGAAATTCTCAACTCCAAGAGCCCCAATAGAAATCTTTAATTAGTAAAACCCATGAGAACTTCTATACATCACAATGTCAGGCAATCCTTTTTAAAAATATCATATGGATTCTCTACAACAACAAGCAAAGACTACTACAAAAATAATGCTCACTTCGACTTGCACTACATACTATAATATAGAATATTAAGTCCAGATAATTAGTGCCCCCCAACAGAACTGCATGCATGCTGCAATTAGTCTGATTTGTGATGCCAATATAGATGGCCTTAAACAAATGTTATATGGTAAAATAATGCTTCTTGTGAAACCTATCTAATTTTTGGCAATTCTGGTATTCAAACTACATCTTGTAAATATATACCTAGTACTACCTGAATTCTCAAAACAATCATTTAAAAGAGTACCTGGTGTCCTTGAACTCTTAATACCATTTTTTTTTTCCATCATTGGCCTCTGGATGATGGATAAGATGGAAATTGGCTTCAGTGCATTAGTCTGATAATTTTTGTATACAGAAAGAAAAACAAAAAAAAACAAGAGATGATATCTACTTCTTTCACTATAATGTCACCTTCCACACACATTTGCAAAATTATATTGAGAAAAAGTGACCTTTTGATATTAAGTTTGAGATGCTGGCAAGCCACTCCATTAGGTGGTTTTTGTAATAGCAAGCATGTATTTCTTATAAGATAAAGGCCTTGTAGATAACAAAAAAACAATGTCTTCACGTCTCCTTCCTAATGTGCACAAATAAAACCCACATTGAGGTACAAATGTTCATGAGTTCCGACAAATCCGGATCCATCATAGATGCCAAGCAAAAGATGCATGCTATTTCATTAGTTAGTATCTTTTATGAAGGTAATTAAGAATTTCCTACAGAATTTATGTCAAGATTTAACACACAACAAAAAACCTGCATCTAAAGATTCTTATGTTGCCTACCACAGATGCCAAAGCTCTACCATTTTTTAGTAAACCCCATTTTAAAGGAACAAGGTTTTTAAGATAGTGATCAAGTTCCAAGCAGTTGTACAGTTTAGGATTAGGATCTTTAATTGAGCAGGATCAGATTGTGGGGACCATATTTTTTGAATGAGCTGTAGACCATGTGACATTGACCAAAATCAACCAGAATGCACAAGGTAGACCAAAGTAGGCCTAGCGAGAAACTAGGCTAGATCATAAGTAATTGACAGGTTAAAAACATCACCAAATAGGAACCTCAATCAAGAATTAGCCATATCAACTTAACATCTGCTAAATATATTGATTTCCAGTATAAGTGATAATCACAAAAAAAAAAATCAAGGGTTTCGGAATAAAAAATGGGGTTTTGGCAAATCCCATAAGCTTAAACCACACATCACATCATACGCATTTCGCAGTGGTGCATGCATGTTAAAAGACCATTGGTTTCACATTTTTGAACTCTTATCCACTTCAAGACAACTCAAGATTTGCTATGTGTATGCCCGAATGTTATGTGTCAAAGTGTCAAGCGTAAAGATAGTGACATGATTCGGAGAGGAAATCAAATCATGAGAAGCATGACACATTGCACAACCATACCAACAAGCCCATAAGTACTTAGCATCAAACAAAAGGATCTCCAATGTCAAGTGAGCTTTGAAATGAGGATGAATAGGAACAAAACGGAGGATGCAGTGAAGGAACATAAAAAGTGATGCAATAGAATATCAAGCGTCATAGGTAAGGTCCAAACGTCAACTAAACAAAACCCAAGTGCACCGAGGATAGAAGAGCTTTCAAGAGCAATAGCCTTTATACATGAAAGGTCCGTCACTAAAATGACACCCAGAATCCTTATAAAGAAGGAACAAAAGAATTACATAGTGTCTTATCTAATCCAAAAACAAAGAAGAGCGAATACATGAGCAACCATTACAAAAAGCAAGATGGATTAAGTTACAAGATCTTAGAGGATCTAGTTACCTGTGCAGAGTGCTCGAAAATTTTCAGCAGTCTTGGGAACGATATCAGCAAAAAGCTGCAAAAATGTAATTTTTCAGCACTTTAACAATATATGCCAAAATGATGAAAAAGGCAGATGAGTTGTATGAAGGAATGTGAAGCTCAACAAAATGTCATGTAGTAACTGTATAATTAGATCGAATACCTCAAACACCATCCGTCCTGCAGCTTTCCCATCAATTGCTACATCAAGGAAGACAATAGGATTATTCTTTTTTGCCATTTTTTCCAGCTGGACTATTCAAGGACCCAACAGAAGAGAAACTTCGCCTGCATCATTTCAGAAGGCAAATTAGAATTTCTTCTACTAACATGTAAACAGAAAGAAAATGATTTAACCAAAAAATCTAAACGGAAAGAATTGAGATATAATTATAAGCTACAGGAACAGTACAACTTCTGGTCTAGCCTAGCAGATATCCATAGTACAAAAGTCCGATGCCACAGTATCAATGGATCATCAGATAGAACAACGATGACAAACGCTTCCACAGAGCCACAACAGGATCTTATCAACATCGATTTGTAGTCCAATCAAATATAGATGAGAGAAAAACAGGACGCGAAGCCAGGCAACAAATCCACAAATCAACTCCAAGAAATGTAAAGGCCAAGATGCAAAAGGAAAACAACCAATTCAGACAGATAGAGACGCAACATATAATGCGCGAATCTAAGACCTCCAACAAAATCATGAGGCGCCCTTGAAACCCTAAACCCTATCTGAGCTGCAAAAAAAACCCTAGCGCGAAAACAAAGAGCAACGCAATTTTAGAAAGAAAACCCACAGAGAATCAAAAAATCAGCATGACATGCAAACTAAAACAGATACCCATTCCAACCTAAAAGAAAAGGATAAAGAACACGGCAACAAGACGGCGACCCACCAAAAGGGAAAGACTAAGACGCAAACGAGAAACGACTGGTACCATATTCAAACAATAAGAAAGAGATGATACCGATTTGACGACCTGAAAACCCAAATTTCTTCCCTGTGGCGTGAAGCAGAGGGAATCTGAGAGCAGCCGGTGCAGCACCGCCAAGGACTGATGAGAGGCGACCGTAACCTAAAAGGCTTCGCGAGACGACATCCGCTTTATTTCTTCAGCAAATTCCAGATTACTATAACACCCCGACTTTGATGATTTATTTACAAAAAGGTCGCACCCGCCCGTGGTCTTGCTCACTCAGCTCACGTGCGCATCATAGTCCTTCCTGTCATGGTAAGGAAGGGACCGCGCCTTATTATTTGGCTCGAAATTGATCTCGATCGGAGCTTGAGTTGAGTCGGACTCAATCGGATTAGATCGAACCTAATCGATCATATGTAAACACGTAAACATTGCTTATTTCTTAAACCAAGAGCAAAATACCATAATACTCCTTTGTGGGGTGATTTATTCACTGGAGAGTCTCGCCTGCTTTAGTCACGTGCGGCACTTATTTCGGTCATGTTAGTTTCGATGTTTGGAGGGGACTATCGAAATCTGTATTAACAATAATAAATTAAGTTTGACCCTTCTTAAGCATAAAAAATATATATATGGACAATTTTATTTGGTCCATTTATATCGTTATTGCAAAATTGTGATTCTCTTAATTGATCCGTATGTAACTTCTTGATAGAAAAATATAAGTTGCTTGATCCTATTAAGCAAAAACTATATCAGATCCTATTAAGATAGTGTATACCATCGTCAAATTTAATATAATAATTTATATTACATAATGACTTTTTGTTGTCTTGATATAATAATTTATAATATAATCTCTTTTGATTTTCAATATAGTCCGTACATTTTTCACTACATGATTTTACATTTTTTAGTTATTTGTTTACATCAAAATGCTTGATATGAAAGAAAAAATAATGTGAAAAAAATGGTAATAATGAGCTAGAGATGGAGCAGCAAATAAAAAAAATAAAATTTGACTATCACATATCAACCATTTGTTTAGTTAAATGGTCGAATCGTCGATCATGCTTTATCATATTTTAACTTATGTTTTTGTCGTATCATTTTCTCTTATCAAATTCTTTCTCATTTCAATGTAGCTAAGTTATAGAGCCATCGACTCCTAAAGCATGTCGATAATGATCATTCATATGAATTATTAGTTATAGGTTACAGGGATATCCAGTCGGGTAACAACACATAATAGATCCTATGAGGCGTTTGTTTAGGCTACGATGTCAGTAGAGCTTCTTATATCGATCAAGATTCTCTTTACTAGTGCATTGATTATTTTAAGTGACACAACGAGAGTATCATCATGGTCCAAATATAATTGCTTGACTTCCTCTTTTTTAAACACGATTGAGGGGTCTCCGCAAAACCTCTTAACATAAAGTTCTTGTGCATAGCTTTTATGAGAGGATGAATTGCCACCTCCCAATGCAAGCTTACAAACAATTATATCCACTTGGTGCTCCATGGGCTCACACGATGGAGATGTCTCATGAACCATAGCGATTGAGATGTCCTCTTTGAATGAGCTCTTATATTTATAGCTTTAAGTTGTGGCAATCATTTATGTTATGCGCATGGTCTTAATGGAAGTGATAGAACTTTACATAGTTCCATCTGGTGGGAGGAATTTGAAGAGGATGGGGTGCGCGAAGTAAGTCTTTTTCATAATTTGCATAAATATCTCAATATGGGAAGCGTTCAAATGAGTGAACTCATTGTAAGGGGGTGGGAGGTCGGCCACCATGAGACATGTCGTTGTGGGGTTACTCTGAGTTACTCAATTACGAGTTTATTTCCTCCTTAGTCTCCTTTATGGGCTTAATAATTTTCTTCCTAGCAACTATTGACTTTGCCACTATATGTCGATTGGCTCTACCATTATATGTTGATTGGTCTCTTGCAGCAACTCAAGAAAAGTGACAGGAGGTCATGTGATGATTGAATAAAAAAATCTCAATGGCTGAAGGCCATTATTGTATGCATTGATTAAGATGGATGAACTTTAATCCTTAAAATGCTTGATGTAGCAAGCTAGGGACTACTTGTCCATCTACCTTATAGTTAATAAAGAGATGGTCGATATTTTCAAGAACTTATAATTGATAAAGCTGAGTTCAAACTCTTTAGCCAATTATCTAAAAGAGGCAATTGACTCAATGGGGAGTTTAACAAACAATTCCCTTGTCACCCCTTTAAGAGTTGTTGGAAATATACAGAGAGGGTTTGTGGTCTCGAATATCATATACGAGACAAAAGCAACTATGTGCTTGGTGGGATTGAAGCTCCCTTCAAATAATTTTAACGTATTTGCCTTGAATCCTTGCAAAATTAGCTCCTCCACAATGCTCTTGATAAAATAGGACCTTAGATAGAGATCGATTTCATGTGCACTCCACCTGATTGTAACATACACTATACCAGGCTAGGCCAACGCATAGCCCGTGGATTAGTCATGTGCATTACACGACTACTTATATTGGGTTGGGTCGAGCTAACATGCAGGTTGGAGCTTGACCTATGAGTTAGGTTTGGGCTCCTAGTTGGGCCTATGCTTATTGTACGAGCCTAGTTTGTAGGCTATGGCTTACGCAATGGGGCTGGGCCTAGCTTGTTGGATGATATAAATCCAAATCTTAACCAATTCATTTAATTCTGAATTATCTCATCATGAACTTATAATCAAGCATCTAATCATTAACAATATACTATTAAAACATAATAAATAGTAATAGAATAAAATGATAAAAATTACATAGAGAGAGAAAATAATATTTTTAATCAACTATTATATAAATCTAATGAAAACCATATATTATAACTAGCATCAAAGATAAAAATTTTAAAAACTACATATAGCATGAATACTTATAATATTTTTTTAATCCTAAAAATATAATTTTAATTATAACAACATTTAGAAACTGCATATAACATGAATAATTGTAACACATTTTAATCCAAAAATAAAATCTTAGACATTTAAAGAAAATTAAATAATTTAAAAATTACATATAACATGAATAATTATAACATATTTCGATACAAATGAAAAATTATAGACACTTAAAGAAATATTAAAAAAGGGTAAGAACCTGCCTTATGATGCTCATTTTTTGTTATTATTGCTGCTAAAATTGGTTTTATGATAAAAGATTGAGATGGATCTCTCCCTTAAATAGGAGCACGTGAGACCTCAATATAACTTTTTTAAAAAAAATAGTTTTTAATAGTTTTTATTTTATTTACTAACAAAAATAACATCACTACTATGTTGAATAATTATTTTTAAAATTTTATTAGCAAGAAATGAAAAATATACCTAAAATAGGGATTTGATTATATTTTTCCATGTGATATTCGAAGATCCACTTATTTAAGAATAATAACCTTCATAAGTGAAATTTAAAGAATTGGTGATAAGTTATAACACTATTATTATTATTAACATATAGAAACCATCGACTCGTGAGTCGGCTTGGTTAGTTCATTGTCGAATATGTAGGTCCTTTCTGATGACTCCTCTTTGCTGATGCAGAGAGCTGGCATGGTGAGTTGGTGTGGAGAGCTAGATTATCTTTGTTGTTGGGCCGCCTCTTAGTTGTGTCTCTAGATGGTTCCGGGGGTCCTGCATAATAGGTCTGCATTGGGGGCGTCTCAGTTAGACTCCTCTAATGCTTAAGTTAGAGAGACGGAAAGAGAGGTTAAGAATGTAAGTGAGAGAGTAAAGTACTCTTGTCCGCTTACCCCAGCGTAGTCCACGTAAGTGTTGCTTATGTGGTGAGGGGTGCTGGGGAGTGCTAGGATTATCCCTATAATTCATCCCTCCGGAAAGGCGTTCTTTGGAGTTTCGAATGAAGATCTCAAAAGACGTTACTTTTTCTACATTCTTGCATGGTGATGTCATCATTATATAGCTTTGGGTTCGTTGCTCGCACCGTGGTGGTTGGTGCGAGGCTCGTTTGGGGTGGGTTGTGCTTTCTTGTTGAGGCAATCTTTGCTTAGACAAGTGTTGACCTAAGAGACCTCTCTCTTTTTTTCTCTCTTTATCTTCATTCTCTCCCTTCCGCACGAGATGTCATTCTCTCACATTTTTTGAGTTCCCCCTTTCTGCATCATGAGGTTTCCTTCTTCAGTTTTGATCTCTCCATTTTGCACAAGAGGTTGGGTCATCTTTTGGGCCTACCCCTTCTTCCACTTATGGGGATAGGTACTCGACCACTTAGGCGGGAGTGTAGGCCCACAATAGCAGGTGTTCGCTCGACCACATGAGTGGGAGGATCAGTATCAGACCACTATAGCGGCTTTCGCTATAATGGGTCTTGATTCGATTATCGTAGGCAGGAGTATCGATATCAATCTATCATAGTGGGTCTTAATTCGATCGATGTGGGCAAGAGTATTGGTAATAGTCTACTGTAGTGGGTCTTGATTCGACCATCGTGAGCAAGAGTATCGGTATCAGTTCGCTATAGCGAGTCTTGATTCGATCATCGTGGCTAAGACTATCGGTATCAGTCCTTCGTAGCGGCTTCCACCATAGTGAGTTTTGATTCAACCATCATGAGCGGGAGGATAGGCCCACTATGGTGGGTTTTGGCTCGACCGCGTAAGCAGGAAGATGGACCCACTATGGTGCCTGGCTAGTGCCTGTGGTTGATACTATAACAGGTGGTGTTATTGCTATCGGGGTGCTTTGCCCATTGTGCACGTCGGGTTATGACACACCTTCTCGTCCTTAGGATTTGTATCGCCTATGATTTTTAATTATGGAGAGGATCTTCTGCTGCTCTAAGGCTTGATCTACTTAGGGAGCCACACCCCTTTTTGAGGCTCTACTGTCATGCAATGATTGGAGGTTCGATATTCATGGCGGGCATTTCTTGTGCTAGATTTCACATTGTCCCTAGATGAATTTGTATGAGCGTTGCCTTGTGGAAGATGAGCTACTTTTGACGTCCGCTAAGCTTATTCTGAGGTATTTATATGGCAGGATTTCGTCTTGGTATCATCAGCTTTCAGAGCTTTGTTTTGTCGCTATCCGTCAAGACTCTCCACACCTTCTTTGTTGGTTGATATAGATCCTTATAGTCTGTAGGAGGGTGTCCCTCCATTCTTGGAAGTGTTGAGCT